TGTCCCTCGGTTGCACCTGAGGCTGCTGTCACCGCCTCCACCCCATAATCCCAGTGTCCCCAGCAGGGGACTACCTGCCCTGGGGCAGGGGGAGGGGGGAAGTGTTTCCACTTTGGAAAGCTCTACCACAGATCACCTGTAATGTAGTCACACAGACATTTTAGTATCCAATGCTGCAGCTCTTTATTTGTATTCCAGACAGCCTGGGGAGAGAGTGACTGGGAGCTGGGTTCTGAGTGTTCGGGTCCTCACCAAATTCATGTGTTAAACATGATGGTATTAGGTGGTGAGGCATGATGCCGGAGTGGGGGGGGGGGATGGGAGGGACTTATAAAAAAGGACTTAGGCGAGATCCTGGCACTGTCTGCCATGTGACCCCGCTACTGTTTTCCCCTGTCTGCAGACCCATGAGGAATGACTTCCTGTGTATCGTGTTTTATTATAGTCACCTTAATAAAGACATGGACCAAGTGTAAGGACTCTAGGACACACACTGAAATTTTCCTGTAGTTTGATGTGAATCAGCAGAGTATTTCAGCTCCTCTTAAAGCATGCTTCTCTGCCGTGCTCAATCCCGAACTGTCATCAAGACCACTTCTTGAGTAATTCTTGATTTAAGAGAGTGGCTCATTCCTTTGAATGCAACAATAGACAAGATGCCGATTTGTCTCTGCCAGAAACTGCTGCATATAAGTAGTTCTCATTTGGGAGAGCAGATTTCTGGCTTGGACAGAGAGGCTCTGGAAAAATCAGGCATCTTGTTTAGAGCAGAAGTATATAAGAGAGTATATAGAGCATAAGTATATTTTGAGAGTTGACTATATCCACTGGAGCAATATTTCAGATTCACTTCAGTATGCGTGCACACACAGTTACTTGCTCTTAAGGACCCTTAAATAATTAGTAATTATTTCTTTAAAATGATAATATGTACCTTCTTTTTCTTTCTTTCTGATTTGGAATTTCATAGCATCCCTGTCTGAGAGAAGAGAGCTAGTCTGTAGACTCCAGTGGGTGTCTCTGAGCCCTTTCAAATGATTTGATAGGCTATGATCATTTGGCCTTGCACTGTGATAGAAACAGTTCTTCATTTATAATGACCTAAATTACAAGCACCCCAGGCTGCTTCTTGGCCTTTGCTACGAAGGACTTTATTGGGTCTCTTCTGGCCCAGGTCTCAGTCTTTGAGTCCTTCACTCACTAGACACTTCTCTCTCTCCTTTAGCATTCTGGTCCTTGAGAGACATGGGGTTTAGGGTGTGCGTGTCATATTCTGGAAAATTCTCATGTATATCCCACCCCTCTTCCCAAAGAAAACTGAGTCAGCATTTTATACAGGTAAATTTAGGTTCAGAGATACTTAACAGTGTTCCCAGTTCTAGTAAAACTAGTCACACACAGACACAGACATAGACACACAGACACTCTCTCTCTCTCTCTCTCTCTCTCTCTCTCTCTCTCTCTCTCTCTTTCTCTCTCTCTCTCTCTCTCACACACACACAATATATTTGGGGCCACTCTCTCTACCATACTGCCTTGCCTACAGGTATATGGTTTGTGGGTCATTCTCAAAACTATCAAATTATAGGACCAGATCCGTGTTCTTAATTTCTATAGCCTCTCTGATTCAACTCATACTTCTAATTTGGAAGCAGGGCTCTGCCAGTAGCTTAATAATGTGTGACTATAGTGAACCGGACACTACTACTCTAAAAATGTAACACAAACACGTGGAGGCTCTCCAAGCAAAGAAAGTGCTAGAACTTTCAGCACTTGAGACACTAAAGGATGGAAGTAGAAGGCGAGATTGTGCAAGACCTGTGTGAGCTCTTTGTAGCCTTCTGACTTATGAAGTGTGTGCTCTTGCCAGGAGTATAGCTCTTGCTATAATTTCTGCTTTTTCCTCAAATATACTTTCTACTCAAGTGAAGTGGTACTCTGTCACCAATGCAATTTCAGGAGCATGGCGTCATAAGAAAATCTCATTTCTTCTTCTTCTTCTTCTTTTTTTTTTTTTTTGCTTTTTGGATCACACCCAGAGATGCTCAGGGGTTACTCCTGGCTCTGCACTCAGGAATTACTCTTGGGGGACCATATGGGATACCAGGGATTGAACCTGGGTCGGCTGCATGCAGGACAAACGCCCTACCCACTGTACTATCGCCCTGGCCTCTCATTTGTTCTTTTTATAAAGAACATACTGACCTCAAGTTGAAAACTACATGTATAATTTAAATACCTGGGCAGCACTTGAAGTGATTTTTAGGTAAGCCCAAAGTGACTCATAATGGTAAATTCTGAGAACTGCTCTTAGACCCATATTCAGAAGTCCATTGCCATTTCTCATCTTGAATCTTGACTATTCCCTGGACAAACATCTTCTGGCTTCCTTAAACCCTCAGTGAAATATCCTCTGAAGTGTACACGGAGGAGTCACGGGCTTGCTAGTCTCTCAGTGTGCATTTATATGGCGTGGGGAACCTGACCTTTTCTCGTGACAGATTCCCTTGATGCACTCGTGCCATCTTAATCTAGTGTTGCCGTGCTATTTCTAGAGTCATTAGTTTGCACTGTGTTACTTCCCCGGCCTTTCTGAGCCTCATTAGAGATGGTACATAACAGTGTTCCCTGGTGTTTTTCTTGGGCTGTAAGACACTCTACTTGCTCAAGGCAAACTTTATCCTTGGGTACAACTGGAAACAGCATCCCATGAGATTGTGTCTAGGTCTGTAATAATATCTTAAGTCAATGATGGTTGGAGGAATCGTTCAGGATGAGAGATGTGGGCTGAAAGTAGAAAAAGGGACCAAACATGATAGCCTCTCAGTATCTATATTGCAAACCATAATGCCCCAAAGTAGAGAGAGAGTATGGGGAAAATTGTCTGCCATAGTGGCAGGGGGAGGGTTGGGAAGAGGGTGGGCGTACTGGGAACATTGGTGGTGGAGAATGTGCACTGGTGGAGGGATGGGTGTTCAATCATTGTATGATTGAAACTCAAACATGAAAGTTTTGTAACTGTATCTCACGGTCATTTAATTAAAAAAAAAAGTCACGTCAGGAGGGGCCTGAGAGATGGTACAGCAGAAGGCACTTGCCTTACACCAGCTTCAGTTTTGTGTCTGTGCATGAGGGAGCATTTGTGATCTCAGGAGGGCTCAGACAGACAGTGATGTAAACTTTCCCAGCATGCTTGCAATGCATCTCTAACCAGGATTTTGTGCACCTTGACCCACATGACCCTATTCCCTCCCCACTCCTGCTCTCTTTTCATGAACTCCGCTTTTGCAGAGGACATTTGGAAGATAGATCGTACTGTGTTCTGCTTCCTTGCCTGGCTTCTTTCTTTTTTTTTAAATTTAATTTAATTTTTATAAAGTTGTTCACAATGATTCATTACATTCAATATTCCAACGCCTTCCCACCACCATTATTTCCAATTTTCCCAACCACCATCAAAACCTGCCCAATAGGAGGCCCTAAATAATTTATTTTGTATTGCTTGTTATGAATAATTCACCAAAAAATGATCAAAAAAAGATTTCCTGAGAAGAACGTGTGTGAAGATTATTGTGTCTCCCCCTGGAGCCATTAAGCCCTTGTATAAGAGATTGCTAACATGTTGTTACAAGTTGAGCCTTGTGTGCTAATATTTTCTTAATCAAGATTGGTTGCTTTCTGCTGAAAGTAGACTATAGACCAAACATGATTGTCACCCATTGCCTCTTTTGCAAACCACAACACCCAAAAGGAGAGAGAGAACAAAAGGGAATGCCCTGCCACAGAGACAGGGTGGGATGGGGGGCAGAGGGGGTGGGAGGGATATTGGGACCCGTGGTGGTGGACAATGGGCACTGGTGGAGGGATGGGTATTTGATCACTGTATAATTGAAACCCAAGCACAAAAAATTGTAAATCTACAACTGTACCTCATGGTGTCTCACAAATAAAAAAATAAAAAGATGTTTGCTTTGTACTTTGCATCCCATTCAATGTGGTATGCTGCTCCTGGTATAGAGTCAGTGGTATAGAGTTTGAGATGTCGCTCAAGGTATTCTAAAGTTTCAAATAGAGTGATAGAGCTGGAGTTAAATTTTCAACTGGATGTTGGCTTTGGGGTCTGAGACATCTCTGCAGCCCATTGATCTCTTTCAAGATATGTTTATGAGTCTCTGGATCTTGGCTGGTTAATGAGCTTATGTGGTGCCAAAGGCAGTTCATGGGGGTGAGTGGTGTATTTCATTTAGCATAATACCCTCAAGGTCCTTCAGAGTTGTGCCAAAAAGGTGGGTTTAAAAACTATTTGTAATGTTATACTAGAATAATATTTGTCAATAGGATATTTCACTGTCACTGTCACTGTCCTCCTGTTGTTCATCGATTTGCTCGAGCGGGCCCAGTAATGCGTCTCCATTGGAGACTTTGTTGTTACTGTGTTTGGCATATCGAATACGTCACGGGGAGCTTGCCAGGCTCTGCCGTGGGGGCGAGCCGGAGTGATAGAATGGTGGGTAGGCGCTTGCCTTGCAAGTGGCTGTTCCCAGGTTCGGTCCCCGATACCACGTACTTCTGAGCACTCTCTGGTATTCACTGGAAATTTGAGCATTGAGATTAATAGGATATTTAAAACTTATATTTAAGAAATTCCATTTCGGGGGGTCTTTGTTTAGGGGTCACACCCAGTGGTTCTCAGAGCTACGGGGGCTGTGTTCAGAGGGCCCTTGGCGGTGCCCAGAGGACCATGTGGTGCCAGGGCTCAAACCCCGGCGTCCTGCACACCAAACATGTCCTTAGTCTGCTCAACTCACCCCGGCCTGTGAAATTCCTTTAACAGCATTTCCACTGGGCAGTCCGTGTTATGTGTTTGGTGTGAGTTTTCTTTCTTTCCTTCCTGGCCCTTCAGTTCTTCCCTCCCCCGTTCCAAACGCCCCGCATCAGACACTAACCCGGACTCAGAGTTCCGTCTCCTGACCTGGTGCTGCCTGTCATTCCCGTTCAAGGTAAAGAAACGGCCGCGATGAAAGCTGATCTCCTGAGGGCCAGGAATATGAAAAGGTACATCAACCAACTGACGGTGGCCAAGAAGCAGTGTGAGAAGAGGATCCAGAACTTGGGGGGGCCCATTTACAACCAGAAAGAGGAGGGGACCTTGAATGAGGAACTGCCGCTGAGCCAGAAGGTAGAACTTGGTGGCTTCGTGTTCTGACCTCTTGCTGTTTGCAGGCACATGGATGCAATCTTGTAGACTCTCTCTCACCCTTTCTCTCTCTCCCCCTCACCCCATCTCCCTCTCTCCCCTCTCTCCTCCTCTCCCTTCCTCTCTCTCTCCCTCCCTCCCTCTCTCCCTCTCTCTCCCCCTCTCTTCCTCTCTGTCTCTCTATCCCTCTCCCTTCCTCTCTCTCCCTCTCTCTCCCCATCCCTTGCTCTCTTTCCCTCTCTCCTTTTCTCTCTCTCCCCCTCCCTCTCCCTCTTTCTCCCCCCTCCCCGTCTCCCTCTCCCCCCCTTCTTCTCTCTCCTGCCTCCCTCCCTCCCTCCATGATCCAGAATACAAATTCACTTGTTTGCTCTTCAGAGTCAAAGGGCTCTATGGTTTGGTGGCTTTTCTCTGTGATTATATATGTGCTAAGTAGGTGTGGGCGGTGTGGGTCTGTGTGAGTGATTTTTTTCCCCCTGTTCTTCCTGCACTGTTAAGAAATGTGTCCTCTATACCCTATTTTTAGATACAGAAAAACAGAGTAGTTTAAGGCAAATTGCCTGAAGCTAAAGGTTTAAGTAAATTGCCTCAAGTGAGAGATAGGAAGAAGCAAAACTAGATGAAAATCCAGGCTGCGTCGATCACCAAGTCCAGTATTTCTTCACCCAACCACAGTATGGCCTCAGCTGCTTATGTTTAAATGCTCTTTGGTGTTTGTTTGTTTTTTAATTAAAAAATAATTTTTTTGACTGAATCACTGTGAGATGCACAGTTACAAAGTTGTTCATGATTGGATTTCAGCCATACAATGTTCGAACGCCCGTCCCTTCTCCAGTGTACATGTCTCAGCACCAGTGTCCTCAGTCCCCCTCCTTCTCCCTCTTCCCTCTTCCTCCCTCACTTCATTTTTCTTTTTTCTTCTTGCTCTCTCTCGCGCGCTCTCTCTCTCTTTTCCTTCTGAGCATGCATTATGGTCTGCAGTACAGATACTGAAAGGTTATCATGTTTATCCCTTTACCTACTTTCATCACTCAGTTCTTATCCAGAGTGATCATCTCCAACATTACTGTGGTGTGGTCCTTTCTCTATCCTAAGTGCTCTCTGCCCCACCACATACTTGTGACAAGCTTACAACCGTGAACCAGTCCTCCTGACCCCTGTTTTTTTTTTTTATATCATTGGATATTGGTTTTGTAGTATGTTTATTTTATTTTATTTTATCCCACAATCATTCTTACTTTGGACAACCTGGCAGGCTACCGAATATAACCTGCCCACATGGCAGAGTCTGGCAAACTCCCCGTGGCGTACCCAATCTGCCAAATACCAGTAACAATGATGGGTCTCATTCTCCTAACACTGAAAGAGCCTCGAATATGGCACTTTTTAAAATCTCAGGGCTAGGACGAAGGAGACGTTACTGGGGCCTGCTTGAGGCAGTCGACAAACAACAGGATGATCGTGATCGTGATCCCACAAATGAGTGTAGTCATTCTATGTTTGTCCCTCTCCTTCTGACTCATCTCACTCAGCATGATACTCTCCGTGACCACCCATCTGTAAGCAAACTTCATGACTTCATTTTCCCTTGTTAAATGCCCTTTTTGCCTGCGAATGCCTGGTCCCTCCATTACATTGCTCGGGGAAAGTTTTGGCCCTGTCTAAAGATCAGGCTTGTCTCCCAGCATCTGGAGTCTGCTAGGAGCAGTAGTACTCTTGGGAAATTTGGCCAGACCAGCAGGGAATCGGAAGGACTTGAAACTGCAAGTTCCTTTTCTGTAAAGTAGCACTCAGCAAAAAAAAAAAAAAAAAAGTTTGTGTCATTTAGCTCTTGCTACTCTTACAAATGAGGTTACTTTTGCAAATGAGGTTCATTTGTTTTGATTTTTAGTTTCTTCATCTTTCCCTCTTCAGTTCTTGGTTTCCAGTTCAGATGGTTATCTGCTTGTGGTTTGGAATGTTTTAATAGAGGAAAACCTCAAGATAAGGTACACTCATGTTAGGAGAAGTGAATGTGATTTCAGATAGATTATCTGTCAGTGTCCGATCTAAAAATTCTTAATCTGGGTCTAGCTCCTTTTCTGACTCCTTACTTCCAGTTCTTTAGGAAAGGAGCAAAACCAGTTACTTTTGAAATAGTTGTCTTCAGAATAAAGCTATTTTCTCCGGTCTCCAGGTTGGGAGGTTCAGGCAGTATCACAGAATTCCAGTATTTGTAGTGTTTCCCTTTCCAAAAATAGGACTTTGGTTAGTTTAGGCCATTTTGATACCCGTGAAAGTTTTGGTATGACCAGAGGAATCCCTACCAACTTCATTTCAAAACTTTGCCCTCAAAATGAGATGAACCCCACTGGTCTGGTTTTTTTTTCCCATCCATATCACTCATTGAGAAAGTGACCCCAATTATACTGATTTGGGACACCTGTCCTTTGTTTTCTTTGTGAAAATCCCACTTCAGGCTCTTCCCAATTAGTTTTCAGTGTTATCTGTTGTGATTCACAGTGACTATTTGAAGTCTTACTATAACTCATGAAGTAGATGGTGCAGTTCCCCTTTTGCAGATGTAGAAGCTGAGGCTCAGGGTGGTGGGGTAATAACACAGACCTAGCAGGACTTGGAAAGTAACAGCAAGGCTCCAAACCGAGGTATGTCTGGTGTTAGAGCATGAATTTTTAAATTTCAGATAGAGGCCATACTTGGAGGTGTGGGGAAAGGAGTTGTGTGGTGCCAAGAACACACCACGGGGACTGCACGTGCGAGGCCTGTGCCCTGTCACCTTGGCCATCCCCTCACCATTCATACTGGAATAATTTAATCATGTGGTGTTGCCTCTCCGTCTTGCTTTTAACACTATAGCACTGTCACACTGTCCTCCCATTGTTCATGGATTTGCTCGAGCGGGCCCAGTAGCGTCTCCATTGTGAGACTTCCGTTACTGTGTTTGGCACATCGAGTACGTCACAGGTAGCTTGCCAGGCTTTGCCGTGCAGGTGAGACACTCTCGGTAGCTTGCCAGGCTCTCTGAGAGGGGCGGAGGAACCGAACCCAGGTCGGCCAGGTTTGCTGCATGCAAGGCAAATGCCCTACCCAATTGTGCCATCGCTCTAGCCTTTTGGCTAAGATCAAGTGCTGGGTGTTTGTTGAGCCCTTTTTTCCTGGGTCCTAAGGTTCTTTGGTGCTCTTAATGAATAGAGTCTTGCTTTTTAGGAGCAATATTTCATTGTTGGCATGCCCTAGAGGATATATACAACTCTATGAAAATAGGAAATATACAAAAATACAAAAAAAAACCCTCAAAATCTGTATTGCCTTATTTTCTAGCACCTCTTCCCCCCCCCCCCCCCTTCTCACAAAGTAGCTCCTGGATAGGAAGATGAAAAGAGAAGAGCTTGGGCTGCGGGGTGGGGGTTGGGGGGAGAGCAGCGAAGAGGAAAGGAATGTACAGAGTTTGGAAATCGCTGGCAGCAGGTAACTGACTTGCGCAAGGTACGTTTTTCTTCTCAGTGTTGATGTGATCCAAAATGAAGACCGTTGAGTGCAGCCCAAACTCTTGCACATGAATGGTCCCTAACTATTTCTGCCAGAGTTCTCGTCGAGCTCTAAATCCCTCTTTCCTTCTTCATCGACTCCTCCTCCTCCTCTTCTTCTCTTTCTCCTTCTCTTCCACTTCCTCCTCTTCCTCTTCTCCTCCTCTTTTTCTCCTCCTCCTCTTCCTCCTCCTCCTCCCTTGCCCTACCTTCCTTCTCTCCCCTCCTCCTCACCCCTCCTCCTCCCTTTTCTCCCTCCTCCTCTTCCTCCCCCTTCTATCGTTGTATACATCCTCTAGGGCATGCCAACAATGAAATATTGCTCCTAAAAGACTGTAGCACTTGGTCCATAACACACACTCAGTTATTACTGGCATTGTGTGACAAGTGATAACTCGAGATGAAAGAGAAAGCCAAATACGATATTAGCTTTTAGAATAAAATGTCATCCCAAATATCTAAAATCAACCCATTCTTACTTGAAATTTTCCTGTATATCTTGTGGAAACTCTGCAGCTAGCATCCTGGGTTTGGTCCCTCTGAATAAGCTTGTCCCTCTGAATAAGCCCTTTTTTCCTGGGTCCTAAGGTTCTTTGGTGCTCTTAATGAATATAGCTTCCATCTGGCTAAGAGGTAATCCATACAAAACTGTTTATGTAGTGCACATTATGAGACCCAATCCAGTAGGACAGAGAAAGAAGCTTAAATATGTTTCTTTTCATTACGTTTGAGTTATACTTGCATGTCATTTTTATTACTAAGTAAGAGTCAAGGATCTGGGATTTAAGCTCCATTAAATGAATTTGAGGTGTTTATCCCAATTAATTGGGTTATTAATTATTTGGAAGGTCGTCTGCTTTCTTATATTACAGCAGTCTGTGTACAAGATTGTTCCCATCACATCTCAGGATACTGACTTCTTATGTTTTTACTTATTTGTAAGTGAGGAAAATAGTAAACAAAGTGTAATTTATTTTGGTATATGCACAGTGGAATAGTCCGAACCAATTCATGCCTGTAAAAGTTTTTTTAAATGGTTATAACATTATAAGCAAAAAAGGCAAGCTAGAAAATCACTTGCAGATTTCTTTTATTTAATCATTTGCAGATTTCTAACTGTATAAACACAGGATGGAAGACCAAAATATGCCAAATACTAAATTATTAGGATCCAGTTTCTTGGTCTTTTTTATATTTTTCTTTAGTTTTTCTATGATTAGCACCTATTAGCTTTCAGGACTAACCTCCTAAGTACCAAGAAAGTTGGTACTTACCGTGGGCATTTTGACTATTCAGTGAACTTTAAATTTTAAGATTAAAAAAAATGGAGGGGTGGGGTTTGGGGGGAGTTGGGCCATACCCCGAGGTGCTCAGAGCTTTCTCCTCACTCTGAGCTCAAGGACCACTCCTGGTGACCACATACAGTGCTGAGATAGAAGGAGGCTCAGCTGCGTTAAAGGCAAGTGCCTTAAGCCCTGTACTATTTCTCTTGCCTCTAGGCAGAGTTTTTTTGTTTTGTTTTCCTTTTTATTTTTTTTTTAATCTGCCCATTCCTAGTCATGTTTCAGATACAAAGTACTGTACTGTAGCACTGTCCTCCCATTGTTCATCAATTTGCTGGAGTAGGCCCAGCAATGATTCCATTGTGAGACTTATTACTGTGTTTGGTATATTGAATACCTCATGGGAAGCTTGCTGGACTTTGCTGTGCGGGTGAGATACTCTCAGTAGCTTGCCGGCCTCTCCGAGAGGGGCGGAGGAATCGAACCTGGCTCTGCCAGGCCAGCTGCATGCAAGGCAGATGCCTTACTACTGTGCTATCGCTCCAGCCCCACAAAGTACATACCAAAGAAGGTTTTTTGCTGTTGTTGTTGTTTTTTTTTTTTGGTCAATGAATAATAGAAAGTTGGTAATAATGGGAGCTGAAGCAACAGTACGCAGTATGAAGGGTAGGGTGTTTGCCTTGCATGCATCTGACCTTGGTTTGATCCTTGGTACCCTATATAGTCCCCTGAGCCCCACCAGGATTGATCCCTCAGATAAGTCCTGAGCACTGCCAGGTGTGGCAAAACAAAAAACAAAGCAGGGGAGCTGGAGCAATAGCACGGCGGGTAGGGGGTAGGGTGTTTGCCTTGCAAGTGACCGACTCGAGTTCGATTCCCAGCATCCCATATGGTCTCCCGAGCACCTCCAGGAGTAATGGAGTAATTCCGCAGTACAGAGCCAGGACTGACCCCTGAGCATCACTGGGTGTGACCCAAAAGCAAAAAAGAAAGAAAAAGAAACAGGAAAAGAAAGAAAGTTGGTATTTACCATGGGCATAATAAATGTTCAGTGAACTTTAAAATTTAGGAAGATTAGAGAAATACTAATTACATTGATTATGACTTTTAAAAGTGTGTGGGCTTCACAATCACGATCATCCTGTTGTTTGTCGATTGCCTCGAGCAGGCCCCAGTAACGTCTCCTTCGTCCTAGCCCAGAGATTTTTTTAAAAAGTGCCATATTCAAGGCTCTTTCAGGGTTAGGAGAATGAGACCCATCATTGTTACTGGTATTTGGCATATTGGGTACGCCACGGGGAGTTTGCCAGACTCTGCTGTGTGGGCAGGCTACCGAAGTGCAAAGTAGGAATAAGATAATCAGATGTCCCTTCCGGGAGCTGGGTTTTATAGTCTCTGAGTCTTGGCTGTTGATGGGATTACATGGCACTGAGGGGCAGTTGGTGGGTGTGATCCCCGCCTACTGGAAGATAGAGGATCTGGGTGGAGGATGCTCAGCCCCCATCCGAGCAGGCTTGGAGATCTCAGCCCTGGGACCTGCATGCCTTTGTTCCTCCGCCGGTACCTTCATGCGTGTGGAGAGTGGTCTCAGCATGGTTGTGGCTGGTTCTGGAGGTCTTTGGCTGCCGGGGCTCTGCCCGGGGCGGGAAGGGAAACTCAGGCAGAATTTCCTGCCCCTGCGCCTGGCTGTCCTCTCCGGGGCCACTTGGAAGGGGGTGGGGGGGTTGCCCACGGAAAAATGGAGCTTTTAGCATTGGTAATTACATAAAACTGATAGTTACAGTTTGAATTTTAAACAGACTTTCCCTTCAATCTCATAAACAGATTCTTCAGTTTGAAGATATTATGACCAATACTTCCTACAGAGAGTACTTCCGGAAATACATGGAAAGGATCCACAAGGGAACTCTGATTAGTTTTTGGGAATCCGTGGAATATTTAAAGAATGCCAATAAGGTAGTATATACTGATTCAAAGGGGTACTTACTCATGGCTGATGAAAACTTGCACACTGGGGAGTTTATCTGAGTTTTGCATGAATCTATGAAATATTAAAATAATAGCACTGTAGCACTGTCCTCCCCTTGTTCATCGATTTGCTCAAGCGGGCCCAGTAACGTATTGAATACCTCATGGGAAGCTTGTTGTGCTTTGCCCTGCCGGCAAGCTACTCTCGGTAGCTTGCCAGGCTCTCCGAGAGGGGCGGAGGAATCGAACCCAGCTTGGTCACATGCGAGGCCAATACCCTACCTGCTGTGCTATCGCTCCGGCCCATTGAAATAATATTTAAGTAAAATGCATTGTTAATATTATGTTTTGGCCCACAATAAAATTTAAATATTTGACTTTTTCTGTTTGTTTTTGGACCACACCTGGGGGTGCTCAGGTCTTACTCCTCTGGGCTTAGGGGTCCTTCCAGGTGGGGCTTAGGTGACCAAATACAGTGCTGGCGGTCGAACCCAGGAAAGCTGTGTGCAAGGCAAGCATCCCACCCAGTGTACCATCTCCAAGGCCAAAATACTTAGATTTGTTGCTGTACTTGTTTGGGGGTCACCCTACTGTGCTCAAGCTTTAATCCTGGCTCTGTGCTCAGGGATCACTCCCAGTGGACTCCAGAGACCAGGGATTGAACCCAGCTTGATTTTTTAAAGGAATTCCTCTTTCACCTGATAGTTATTTGATTTACTTTAAGTCCTGATACCTCTAGAGTTGAATATTTTGTTCTTAGTATTTTTTAAACAATTTTAAAAATCGAAGCATCAGAGTTCGCAATAGCATTACTGTTGTCGTTTTATTTTTATTTTTATTTTGGGCCACACCAGCAGTGCTCAGGGCTTACTGCTGGTTCTGTGATCAGGGTCCACTTTTGGCAGACTTGGGGGACTTCGTATGGTGATGGGTATGCAACCCAGGTCAGTTGCATGTGAAGCAAGCACCCTGCCCGCTGTACTATTGCTCTGGCCCCACTATTTTAAAATATCATGAACAATAACTTTCATTAGTTTCACCCAATGTTGCACTTAAGACATTTTCTTGTTTTCAAAAAATTTTGCTTAGCTGGCATATTTTGCTTACCTGACCTGATTCCACATGACTTTTGACTGCGCTCAAAGGAGTGTTTGTAAAGAACAGTGGAAGCAAATATTCTTTAACTCCTGAGAACAGTCTGAAAAAATTCAGTGGAATGAAGGCATCCACCTGCCCCAGGTACCCAGCTATATTTTGCCAGAGCACCTTGGCCTGGATAGGTGAGGTGTGGGATGTTTGTTAAATTCCCAGTGCTCACTAACTTGTTTGTCTTTGTTTTTTTTTTTTTCGTTAATTGAAAAACCAAAAAATAAAAACCCGACAGTTGAAGATGTCGCATAAATTCCTAGAGTTAATGAGACATCTCTAGAGCAGTGTGAAGATTACATAAGATTAGAAGATTATTATATTAATTATTATATATAATTATATTATATCTGATTATATTATAATCAGAAGATTATTATATTTCTGACGTGGGCTGGCCATGCTATGCGCTATGTGGAAGACTAAGGGGCTGGGGCCCTGGGAGCTGGCTCGGGTCTGGGACTTTGACCTTGCTTTCCCAAAGTACTTAAGTTTGATCTCTGATGCCACAAGTCCTTCCACTCCCCCCCGCCCACACACACACACAAACCGCCTCTGAGTGTAGCACTGAAGGCACCCTCTGCATTGTTAAGATTCCCAGGTGGCCTTGGTGGCTCTCTGCAGCACTTGTGGGCCCGAGCAGCTCTGCATCCTGGGGGACTAGAGTTGAACTAACCTGCCTGGTGGACCCAATATCTCCCGGAGTGACTCCTCGACCTCCTAAGCACTGCACGGGGACCCTACCCTTGGACAGACTGGCTCTGTTGTTTGGTGAGAGCCTGATGCAGAGTGACGGTGCTGTGTGAAGAATTCTTGTTTTCTAAAATCACAACATATTATATCAACCTTTTAATGCCCGGTGAAATTGACTCTTTCGATTACTTCTGTTTTTTTAAGAGGTCAAATTAAATTTTACCCAATAAATCGTATTCTTTTGTGAAACTGAGAGCAATGCAGAGAAATCCATGGCAAGAAGAGAATTGTTCTTGGTCTCTTTTCCTTATGGCATGTGAATGAAATTGCTTCGGTACCTCCAATATTAAGTATTTTGAGGAATCAGTTGTTTCTCGAGGGTCTGAGTTGAATCTGTCAGCCCAGTCTGTGCTCACAGAGGGGGAGGTGGCCCATGCTAGCGCCTGCCTTGCAGCTGTAAAAGGAAAAGCATTCAGAAACTAATTTTCCGCCAAGCTCCTGTTTCTTACCTCTTCTTTTTTCGTTTTCCTATCTTTCCAGAATGAAATTCCACAGTTAGTGGGAGAAATTTACCAGAATTTCTTTGTTGAAAACAAAGAGATATCAGTGGAAAAATCACTTTACAAAGAAATCCAGCAATGTCTTGTAGGAAATAAAGGTATTGAGGTGTTCTACAGAATCCAGGGTGATGTTTATAAGATCCTGAATGATAGGTATTATCCCTCATTTATTGTCAATGATCTGTATGAGAAATTGATCAAGGAAGAGGAGGATGCCTCACAGTTGGTGGCCAACAAGGACCACATGGTGAGTCCCATTGAACTCTCTTCTCCCTTTCAGTCAAGAAACTGGGTGTGAGATTAGGTGAGAGCATATTGTGTTAGCCCAAGTTGGCATGGTGCCTTCACCTTGTATAGGACTTCAAAGGGATGTGGGACTTGATGTAGAGTTTGAATTCCTTTGTTACTCTGGTCTTCTGCATTTCTTTCTACACCACCCCCCCTCTTTTTTTTTTTTTTTTTTTTTTTTTTGGTCCTTAAGCCCAACTGGTTACCACTTCCAGCACTTACACACTCCAAATTTGACTCCTGAAAAGTGAGGGTGGCCAGGAGGTCTGTGGACTGGAACATTTGTGGCTTAGATCAAGTAAGAGAATAACTGGAAATAAAATTTAGCCCAAGAATAGACAAAGGATGGCAGGCGGTGGGCACTGATGTTATATAAGGAGAAGAAGAGAATGGAGAACATACAGGAACTATTTTGGAGTTAAGAAAGTCCAGTGAAATGAAAACATCCCCAAAGAAACTTTGCTTAGCCACACTTTAAGTCTGATTTTCTCTTATGTCCAGTGATTTTATCTCAGGCTCAGCCATCATCTTTTTTTCATTATTAATGACTTATTTGCTTTTAAAGATAAGTGAAGATTTGAAGAAAAGGCAAGCAACATGCTTTCTAGTGTTATTTCAGAAGATCATAATTTATGTTGGATTCTTTTTTTTCTAGCCTAGTTCACTGTATATCAGACTTTAAGGAATCAAGTTTTATCTTCATGACATTAGAAGTCATTGTCTCAGCAGTGCTGTCAAATTGTCTGATTTCCATTCAGACTTTTCTATCTCTGTATTATATCTACTAAAAATTAAAATGACTAATATGTGAGTGCTATAAAGGAGAATATTTAGATAATTTACACATCAATTCTCAAAAGATAAATCAGATGAGGACTTGAAAGCTGATATGATGGGTAATAGAAAGCAAACATGAACAACAAATGTGTCCAACTTTACAGGATTCAAAGAGGAGTTAGTGTGTATCACTGACCTTTCAAAAACCCCTGCACTTTGTTCTCATCAGCCCACTTCTAGAAATTAGCTCTAAGAAAATAGCTAAATGTAGGGGGGAAATCCTCGTGCACTCTTGAGTTGGCGTGAAAAGAACCAAAATCAGCCCTAGCAAGAGCAGCAATAGGAAGGTGCCCCAATAAAGGATCAATTTGTAACGCATTATTCAGTCATAAAAATGATAATTTTGAAGACTAAAATACCCTCAAATATTATATAGCACATGAAAAAGGCAGTTGCCCACTTAAATTTATAATAGATACAGAGTCATATCAGAACGCATGTACTTATGGATAGGATTACAAAGAACATATAAAATGAGGATAGCTTGACCTTTTCATGATACCTTATTTTTCTTTAAAAAAAAACAACATTAATCTGCTGTTTGATGCATTTAGTGAAAGAAGAAAAAAATATGAAAGAAAGTTAATGAATAAACATCCAGAAGATTGTTTCCAGTAGTTCTTTTCAGGGGGCTCAGCCTGAGTTCCTGTTAACAAATCTAATAAGTAATATGCTCTTTAATAATTTATCCAGATTTTTTTCTAAGTCTTTATGCATCTTAAATATCTTTCAAAAGCTATGGATTTGTGAAATACATTTTAAGAGGACAACTAAATAACTGTATACCAAAAATATTTCAATCAGTTAATATTTGGAATTTTTATTTTAGAGGGACTTGTATGCTTTTGTCTTCATAAGTGATTAGACACAGAACATCAGGGTTCCTTCCCAGGGGTGTGTACCATTTAGGAAATGTGTAGGTTGCTGCCCCTGACCCCTCACCTTTCCTTTAGACAGTTAAATGTCTCTTTTTTTTTCACTAGAATTTTGAATACCAAATATGTCGGTTCTGAATAATTATTCACTTTGTCAGTCCAAGCTGTTTTTTACTGTAGAATCTGGGACTTTGGTGCAGTGCATTATGATGACTGGTACAAAAGATAATAAGGTGTTATGATCACATCCATCAATTCTTGTGATTTTTTTCCTTCCTCCCCCATTCAGGGCCCCGGAGATGAGGTGGGAGAGGAAGCTGTGGATGAGGGCACCAGTCAACAGGCGGGGTATGCAGTAAGCAAACTGCGGGAGCTGAATGAGAAGCTTGAATATAAGAGGCAAGCTCTAAATTCTATCCAAAATGCACCAAAACCAGACAAGAAGGTAACGCACTCTCAAGGTGTTTTTTGAAATTTTCCATTAGAAATGGAAGTTTTCACTTTATGTTGGTGTGTTCCACTTTGTTTCATATTTTAGATATGTCCCATTTACCGTGACTGTTAGAAAAGCAGTTGCTACTATGATTTGGGGCTCATGAATCCGTGAGTCTCCCCAGCCATGAGTCTAGGTCCCTTTCCCTGACTTCCTGCAGTGTCTCTGGGGAAGAGAGTGGAGCTTTCCCTAGCGAAAATTCATTTCTTTTTTTTTTTTTAATTTTATTGAATCACCGTGAGAAAGTTACAAGCTTTCATGTTTGGGTTACAATCACGCAATGATCAAACACCCATCCCTCCACCAATAAACTTTCCCCACCACCAATATCCCTGGTATACCCCCCTTACCCCCCGCCCCCCGCCTCCATAGAAGACAGTATTCCCTATATTCTCTCTTTACTTTGGGGCATTATGGTTTGCAATACAGACACTGAGAGGTCATCACTTTTGGTCCATTATCTACTTTCTGCACACATCTCCCATCCCAATTGATTCCTCCTGCCATCATTTTCTTAGTGATCCCTTCTCTATTCCATCTGCCTTTTGCCCTCCGCTTCCAGCTGTGGGTCAGTCCTCCTGGCCCTTGTATCTACTGTCGTTGGGTGTCAGCCTCATGTTATGTTTTTTATACTCCACAAGGGCTGGAGCGATAGCACAGTGGGTAGGGCGTTTGCCTTGGATGCGGCCGACATGGCCAACCCGAGTTCGATTCCTCCACCCCTCTCGGAGAGCCCGGCAAGCTACTGAGAGTATCTCACCTGCCCGGCAAAGCCTGGCAAGCTACCTGTGACGTATTTGATATGCCAAACACAGTAACAAGTCTCACAATTTTACTGGGCCTGCTTGAGCAAATCGATGAACAAAAATAGGAGGACAGTGACAGTGATAGTGATACTCCACAAATGAGTGCCAGTCCTTCTATGTCTATCCCTCTCTTTCTGACTCATTTCACTTAGCATGATACTTTCCACGGCTATCCATTTATAGGCAAAGTTCATGACTTCATCTCTCCTAACAGCTGCAAAGTATTCCATTGTGTAGATGTACCAAAGTTCTTTAACCAGTCATCTGTTCTTAGGGCACTTGGGTATTTCCAGATTTTGGCTATTGTGAACAGTGCTGCAATGAACATATAGGTACAAATGTCATTTCTACTATGCTTTTTTTGCATTCTCACGATATGTATTGCGGGGTCATATGGAAGCTCACTGAAAATAGAAGTAAATCACACACACAAACAGAAAATCAAATCAAGCACCTGGAAATTAAACAGCTCACTATTGAACAACGAGTGGCTTAGAAAGGAAATCAAAGAGTGAATCATTTCTTAAGAACAGTCTTTTTATCTTTTTCTTGGTATATAATTGAGAGAGCCATACAGAATTGTGCAAGAACTGATAACATTTTAAAAACTAATAGAATTTTCCAAGTGTAGTATCATATCATCTGTAATTAGAGAAAGCTTGACTTCTTCCTTTTTTATCTGGACACCCTAGATATCTTTTCTTTTTCTTAACTGCTCTGGCAAGTATATTGAATAGTACTATACACTCGTACTATATTGAATAGCATTGGTGGGAGCAGGAAACCTCGTCTTGTGATTGATCTTAGAAGTTTTTCAGTTTTTCCTCATAGAGTATAATGCTTGCTGTGGACTCTGACTATATTGAAGAAAACTCCAACTCCCATTTTGTTATAGTTTTTATCATGAATGGGGCTGGATTTTGTCAAATGCTTTCTCTGCATCTATTCATGTGATCATATGGTTTTTATTTTTTCTGTTATTAGTATGGTATATTATCTTGATCGACTTGCAGGTGTAAAACCGTCCTTGCATCCCTGCAAGGTTTAAAGTTTGAGAAATCTCCTTTCTGTTTTTCATAATAGTTTCATCATTTTATCTTCATATCAACCAGTGCCTAAGGGTTCTATAGTTTTTCTACATCCACACCAACACTTGCTATATTTTAGTCACCACCTGATGAGTGAAAGGTAGATCTCTTATAATAGTTTTCATTGGCATTTCTGTAGAGATTAGTGAAGTGAAGCATCTTTTCATGTGATTTATGATCATTCATATATCTTCAGAGAAATATTTTCCTGGATATTTTCCCCATTTTTGAATTGAATTATTTTTATTGTTGAGTTTTAGACATTTTATAGATATTCTGTATACTTGTCCCCATCATATCTGCAGATATTTCTTTCAGTTTTTAGGATGCCCTTTTCACTAAATGGAAAATGTTCCCTACAGAAGTTTCTTTTTTCAAATTTCTTAATTTTTATGAAGCCCAATCAGTTTATTGTCTTTTTTTACAAAAAAAAAAACTTGGGCACTGGTGGAGGGATGGGTATTTGATCATTGTACAATTGAAACCCAAGCACAAAAATTTTTAAGTCTACAACTGTACCTCATGGTGTCTCACTAATAAAAATTAAAAAAAACTGTCATTGAATCACTGTGAGATAGACCACTACAAAGCTGTTTATGCTTGGGTTTCAGTCATACAGTATTCCAAGTAGACCAACAGCCATCCCTCCACCAGTGTACGTTTCCCAGCACCAATGCCCCCAGTTTCCCTCCCACCACCCCATTACTTTTTGTTGTCTGTATCTTTGATGTCACAGTCAGAATCCCTTGCCAGTCCAACATTATGTTCTCCCTGTGTTTTCTTCTATAATAATTTTTATTACTTGAGGGCTGGAGCGATAGCACAGCGGTAGGGCGTTGGCCTTGCACGCAGTCAACATGGCCGACCCGAGTTCGATTCCTCCGCCCCTCTCGGAGAGCCCGGCAAGCTACCGAGAGTATTCGATATGCCAGACACAGTAACAACAAAGTCTCCAATGGAGACGTTACTGGGCCCGCTCGAGCAAATCGACGAACAACAGGAGGGCCTTTACCTTTACCTTTACTTATTACTTGACCTTTTGTATCCTTGATGCATTTGGGGTTGATGTTGCACATAATACTTTATGTGAATATTCAAGTTTCTCTACATTGTTTGCTGAGAAGATTGATTCCTTCCTTAATTTCTTTCATCAATGTTTGAAGTGTTCATTGTTGAAGTCTCTCATCTCCTTGCATAAATTCATTCATAAATGTTTTATTTTATGCAACTATAAATAGACTTGTTGTTTAGTTTTATTTTTGAATTACCCATTGTTAGTGTACAGAAGCTCATAGGTATGGGATGTCAGTTTTGCCTGAATCTCTCAGCATTTTATTTAATTTTTTCTTTTTGGGTCACACCCGGCGATGCTCAGGGGTTACTCCTGGCTCATGCACTCAGGAATTGCTCCTGGCAGTGCTCGGGGGACCATATGGGATGCCGGGAATCGAACCTGTGTCGGCCATGTTGGCTGCGTGCAAGGCAAACGCCTTACTCGCTGTGCTATCGCTCCAGCCCCCCTCTCAGCATTTTAAATGGTCTCATAACTCCCAGGATGTTTTCCCTGTGGCAGATTGTTTCCAAGTTAAAGGATGAAATACTGCTAATAGAGAAAGAACGCACAGATCTTCAGCTGCACCTGGCCAGGACAGACTGGTGGTGTGAGAACCTTGGCCTATGGAAAGCCTCCATCACGCATGGAGAGGTAGGTTGAATTGCTTTTCCTCCCGATTTATTTTAAAAGTTTGAACTTGTAAGTGGAACATTACAGCTGAGGGTTGAAAACTCACATTTCTTCTGCATTTGTTCTAATTTTCTTCTCTCATATTTCTCTCTGGTTCACCAGTAATTGAGAGCCAGTGCTAGATCTGATCTCACCCCACTTCAGAGGGAAAGTTGTCTGTCATTCACAGAAATTGTAAGCAACTCTCAGATAGGAGCACGTAATGCCCTTAAATTACCAGTTGTTTTCAGGGAGCATGGAAAATCCATCCGAAATCTGTTTCTCACATTCTGCTGACTTCAGCTGCTCAAATTTTAGTCGCTCTAAGAACTTTAGTAATGAATATTTTTCCCATGAATTAGAAAATATTTTGCTGGATAGCAATTTTTCAAAATATATTAACTATGTCTCCTTTTGTCTGTAAAGGTAGTTTCATTTAGGGGAAAATGCTTACCAGTACTTACTTTTTTAGTCTTTTTTTAAAAAAAAATTATTTATTTATTTTGGGTCACACTCAGAGATGCTCAGGGGTTACTCCTGGCTCTGCACTCAGGTTCCCCAGAAATTACTCCTGGTGGTGCTTGGGGAACCATATGGGATGCTGGAGATTGAACCTGGGTTGACCACATGCAAGGCAAAAGCCCTACCACTGTGCTATCACTTCGGCCCCTACTATGTTAGTCTTAATACATCCTTTTTTACCTGCCAGTTATGTGGTAACCTGGCAGTAAAAGGCTTGTTCCCAGATAGTGCACAAATAGCAAGTCATACACAGGTAACCTGTTCCAATCTCTGACAGCATATGTGGTTCCCTGAGCACTGCCAGGGTGGTCCCTGAGCACAGAGGCAGGAGAACCTGAGCACCCCTGGATATGACCCCAAAGCAAATATATCTCTGTGTGTGTGTGTGTGTGTGTGTGTGTGTGTGTGTGTGTGTGTGTGTTTTGCTGACTTTCTCTGAGGGGAAATTCGGAGGTCACATCCCATGGTTCTCAGGGGCCATTCTTGTCTCTGTGCTTGGGAATGACCCCTTGTTGGGGGACCATATGTGGTGTTAGAGATCAAATGGGGTCACCTTCATGCAAGACAAAAACCTTACCTCCTGTACCAACTCTCTGGCCCACTTTATTGACTTAAACTAAATTTGGGAAGCCCTCATGACTCTTGAAGAGTTTTTGTTATCTCTCATCTCTGTTATTATTTATTTTTCTAGCATCTCATAGTTAAGATATTAAGTCTTTTTGATTTTGATTTTCTTTTCTTATATTAAAAAATCAATCCAATTTCATTATTTAAAACAATGCCCACTTATTTTCTTTGCTTTTGGGTGAGAGCACACCTGCTGGTACTTGAGGGCTACTCCCAGCTCTGTGCTCAGGGATTGCTCCTGGGGTGCTTGGGGGCAGGGGCGGGGGAAGGATGACAATACAGTACCAGGGATTGAACCGGGTCTCTGGCATGCGAAGCATGTACTCAGCCCTTTGAGCTACCTCACTGCCTCTCTGGCCCAAACTTGGCCCATTTCTTAGCTCACAGTTAGTCCCAAGTCCAGCTATGTATGATTGCTTGGATCTTTGCTCATTGTATCACAAGGTAAAATCAAGATGTTAATATTGGTCAGTCTGAGTTCTGAAGACTAGGGGGGAAATCCACTCCCAAGTTCACTTGGGTTATTTGTCAAATTCGTTTCTTTGTGGTTTGGAACGAAAACATCAATTCTCTTATTGTCAGTAGACACACAGTCCAGGCCCTTTCTGTATGTCACTGTGCACTGATACACTTGGAGCTGTACATGGAGTCCTTGCTGCAATATAGAGCTCTCAGTCTTTCCAGCTGCCTGAGCTGAAGGACTCTCCCAGTTCCTGAAGGGCTCCTCTAAGTAGGTTAGTTCCTCCCAGATCATATATTTAAAAGTCTCTGCTGTGTATTGTAACCTGTAGAATGAGTTTGAGATCATCTTACAGGGGATTATGTGGAACATATATGCCCAGTAGAGAGGGAATCTTGGAAATCATTTAAAAACCTTCCCACATCTTCTTTGTGTTATTTTTATGTGTGTATTTTATCCCCAAAGGTGACTGAAGAGAATGGTGAGCAAATGCCCTGTTACTTTGTGTTGGTCAGCTTACACGAAGTTGGGGAAGTTGAGACCAAGAACTGGACCGTCCCCAGAAGGCTGAGTGAATTTCAGAACCTGCATCGGAAACTTAGTGAGGTATGGACACCTGTGAACAAATATGTGATTATTGATGAAGAAGGCATTCAGTAGCCCCTTTCAGTGTTTACATATAAATAAACCAACTACTTTTTCTTCTTTGCTGTTGAACAGGCAGTTCGCAGATAAACTCATATGTCACACCATTAAGTTTAGTCTTAACTAAAGTGAAGACTAAACCTTATTGACTGGATCACTTGACTTCCCTTTAATCGTCGATTTGCTCGAAAGGGCGCCAGTAACATCTCCATTTGTCCCTGTTGCGTGCTAGTGTAGCCCAATGACGTCTGTTCGCTCTAGGAACACGAAGAGCCTCAAACCGATCATTCATGATCTTGATGAAGAAGTTTGACCATCTGGTAGGTGGGCGGCCACGCGGTCTTTTGACATCCCGTGGAATCCAGTCGGTAACAGCTCTAGTCCAGCGGTCGTCTTTAAATCTCATTACGTGACCAGCCCATCTGATTTTTGACGCCTTGGCAAATGAGACAGCAGCCCTGATTCTTGATCGTCGACGGATGTCTGAACTCCGGATTCTTTCTCTCGTTTGAGTGAAACGTGATATTCCAAGCATAGCTCTTTCAATTCCTCTTTGGGAGACCCGAATAGTGTTCTCATCCTGTTTGCGTAGGGCCCAGGTCTCTGAGGCGTATGTTAATGCAGGAAGAACAGTGGAATCAAAGAGATGTGCCCGGAGTTGGAGGTTCTTCTTCCTCTTAGCTGTTTCTTCAACGCTCTTGAAGGCGTTCCAAGTCGCTCTCTTCCTCCTGAGCAGCTTGGGTGCCAGGTCATTTGTCATGTTGACTTCTTGACCTAGGTACACATAGCTGTTGCATTCAGAGATGGTCGTTCCGTTGAGAGTGAATGGGGTGTCAGGAACAAGGCTTTTCCTCACAACATTGTCTTCATAAGAGTCAGCTGTAGTCCTACCTTTCCACACTCACGGTCAAAGTTGGCCAGCATTTGTGCCGCTTGGCTGATGTTTGGTGTTATTAAAACAATGTCATCAGCAAAGCAGAGGTGGTGTAGTTGCCGACCATCTACCTTCACTCCCATTCCTTCCCATTCCAGTCGTCACATGATATTCTCGAGGGTGGCACTGAAGAGTTTTGGTGAAATGGTATCACCCTGCCGAACCCCTCTCTTGACATCAATGATTACTTCTTTGTAGAATGGTGAGATCCTGGTAGTGAATCCTTAATACAGCTCACAGAGGATCTTGATGTATTGAGCTTGAATTCCCTGATTGGCTAGGGCTTCAATGACCGCTTCCGTCTCAACAGAATCAAAAGCCTTCTTTAGGGGCTGGAGCGATAGCACAGCAGGTAGGGCGTTTGCCTTGCACGTAGCCAACATGGCTGACACAGGTTCGATTTCCAGCACCCCATATGGTCCCCTGAGCACTGCCAGGAGCAATTCCTGAGTGCATGAGCCAGGAGTAACCCCTGAGCATCGCTGGGTGTGACCCAAAAAGCAAAAAAAAAAGCCTTCTTGAAATCAATGAACATTAGACAGAGGAGCATCTTGAACCCAAGAAACCTCAGTGAGCTTGGTTATCATGTGGATATGGTCGATGGTGCTGAATCCTTTGCGGAACCCGGCTTGCTCGCATGGTTGTCCTTCATCTAGTGTTCTGCCAATCCTATTCAGGATGACTCGAGTGAACAACTTGTAGATGACAGACAATAGGCAGATCGGGCGATAGTTGCCAATGTCATGAATGTCTCCCTTCTTGAAAGTAGTACGGTCCTGCTGGTTTTCCATTGGGACGGAACCTTGCATTCAGATAGGTAGCGAGTGAAGAGCCGAGCCAGTGTATTGATGAGTACTGACGGCAGGTTCTTCAGGTGTTCAGGTCTGACCTTGTCTGGGCCGGGTGCTGTTTGTTTCTTTACCGACGAAATGGCGTGTCGGATTTTGGAAGGGAGAACATTGGGAACGACATATCCATCCTGTGGAATTTGGTATGTCGGCAAGTGGACATGGCTATCGAAGAGAGTTGAGTAGAAGTCATGGATAATCTTCTCCATTGCTGTTCTGGAAGATGTGATAGATCCATCAGGACGTCGGAGGGCAGTCATCTTGGTCTTGTAGTTGGCGAAGGACAGGCGGGCATTACGAATACTTTTCCCGGCTTCCACCGCATCTACCAGCACTTCTGCTCTTCTCTCTTTGAGGTCTTCTTTGACCGCATCTCTGCACTGCTTTGTGAGCTTGGACATTCGCTTGCAGTTGCCTGAGGCATGTGCCAAACCACGTTGGTGAATAAGCTCAAGAGTTCTTGAAGACAGGCATTTTTTTTTTTTTGTGGCTATCTCTCTCTTGGCGTTCCTCGCGCAATCATGGAGGTGCTGAACCAGTCAATCGTATTCCTTGTCAATGTTGTCAACAATGGTATCTTCCCCTGTTGTAGCAATAGTGCCAAAGAGCTCCCATTGGTGGTCGTTCTGGGAGTTCTCTTCTTAAACTTTGAAGCCCTTTCTCCCCGCTCCGTGAAGTAGAATTTTGCATGAAGGAGACGGTGGTTCAATTCCGTTTGGAATTTTGGGACAACAGCAACATCAGTCAGGCAAAACCGTCAATTGAATATGATGTGGTCTATTGGACCGGGAGACTCCCATGTCCAATGTTTAGATTCGGCCTTCTGGAACTGTGAGTTACCATGGATGGTCTTGGTCGACATGATGAACTCAGACAGTTTCTCACCCTGTTCGTTCCATTCTAGGCCATGGGTCCCGATGTGAAGTTCTTCAGCTGATCTTCTCGGTCCTATCTTGGCATTAAAATCACCCACAATGATCTTGTAGAAGGTGTGGTCTTCTTTAAAGAACTTCTCCAGCTCCATGTAGAACTTCTCAATTTCTCCTTCATCATAATTAGATGTTGGTGCATAGACAACGAAGATAGATTAGAGATCAATAGATTTGATCTTTATTATGAAATTTTGAATTTTCATATTACCTGCATTGAACCCCCGAGGGAAAATCACCGAGTACCAGTGATTTTTGGAAATGTCATTTGTGACTCTTTTAGGGGGCAGTGAAATCAATTCAGGATTGCATCAGGAGGAAGAAAATATATTGGTTTGGCTTTCTTCTTATTAGTAGGGGAATCACTAAAACATTTTAGTCGAATATCAGGTTGCTCACGTTGGAATGCTGGCTTTCCTTCCTAATAAAAAGTGACCAGGGACTTGTCACTTTCTCATTGTTCCTCTTTCTCCTCTATGCAATAGAAACACTCATGGTATTTCCTCACTTGCTTTATGGCATTGTGGGTAATGATGGCATTAAGGCAATACATTTTTACAGTGCATGCAGAAGAAGGTATGGAATCTGGTAAACATTATTACTATATTATTATTAAAGTATATAATATTATATAATGCAATAACATATGTAATATCCTTTTCGATAGCTTTGAGCATTGTCTTGTAGAACTTTTGTGTGTTTGATACTGTGTGTTTGACATGATTATATAGTTGAGTGTAGATACATTTAGGCAAAGTATCACATGTATTACCTGCTAATCTAGGTAAATTCCTTCATAGGGGAAGTTATCTGAGAGTTTAATTGACATATCAAGATATGTACATAGTGGCCAAATCTGGATTGCAATACAGGTAGTCTTAGTTTCGGTTCTGTGTAATTCCAGTTTTCTCTGGAATTGCATCTTTAACTTTTGCTTCCTATTGGAGGTGCTCACCGTCCATCCCAAGCAGAAGAAATGTTCTTCAGTCATTTTCAGTTAGGACATCTGGCTCTTAGTCACAATAAGCTAGTAAAATCCTATGGTCATTTAATATAAGAATAGTTTTTCCTAAGACTATTGAGGAAAATGGACACTTGCAAAAATGCATCATTTCATAGTCTGCTGAAAATTCTGCTATGCGAGTTTTGTGACTGAAGTCTCCAGGCTTTCTTGGGGTCAGTATGGGCCACCTTCCCCCACCTCCCTGTACTTCCTAAAGCCTCAACCACACCTACACCCACACCCCAAAGCTGCCACCCAGTTAAAGAGCTACTCCAGCCTTACCATCCCAATAAAAATACTGAATGCCCTGAAAAATTACAATGACCTCATAGTACCTGTATTGCAAACCATAATGCACAGAAGGAAAAGGAAAGAGAGAGCAGAAGGGAAAGTGCCTTCCATAGAGGGAGGCTGTCATATTATTTGGGGTGCTGGGGTATCGTGTGAGAGAACAGGGGACGTTAGTGGTGGGAAATGTACACTGGTGGAGGGATGGGTGCTGGATCATTGTATGACTGAACCCAATCATGAATAGTTTTGTAATGGTCTATGTCACAGATATTCAATTAAAAATATGTTTAAAAAAGAAGTAGTGTGGAGTTCATGCCCACTTCAGTCAGCTTAATCAGTGGCTGAATGAGAGTAACAGCAGTACTCTTACATTAAAAAAAAAATTGTAATGCATCATTTTTCTTTTCACCAACCATTGCATGACCAAAATTCAGCATCTGTCTCCTTGCAGATAGAAGAGTTTTCTCCTTCCTGAACAGGAAAGAGAACAACAACAACAACAACAAAAAAACCAAATAGGGTTGATGTTCACTGTATCACTGTATCACTGTCATCCCGTTGTTCATCGATTTCCTCTAGCAGGCACCAGTAACGTCTCTATTCGTCCTAGTCCTGAGATTTTAGCAAGTGCCACATTGGAGGCTCTTTCAGGATCAGGGGAATGAGACCCATCATTGTTGAAATAAAGTAGAAAAATAAGTACTTGAAAATACAAAACAGTACCACTGAAGCGTTAGAGAAGCACACCTTGTAAACATCTCTGCCTGTCGCACCTGTGGCATGGTCACTGGGTTTGTCTCTTACCCTGGTGCTTCCTTGTCACTGAGTCTTCAGTTTCTGAAAGAGTCTTCCTGTTGACAGCTGTGAAGCACCCTCTCGAGTCCCCCTGAGTCTCAGTCTTGCAACTCTCACTGCTGTCTTCATTTCCCTGAAATTTTGCCCGGATTCAAATACCTTTCTCAGGCAAATGCCACTTGACCTGTGATGCTTCTGTGGACTGTGTAAGAAAGGCTGGCTTTCTCTTTCCTACCACACAAAGCCCTGGTGTGCCATCTCTTGGCTGCTATGACCCTTCAGTGCACTGATGCAGGCCACAAGAGTCAAAAACTGGCCAGGAAAACTGCTCGCTTGCCCAGTTCACTTGCCCACACGCCCGAGTGGAAACAAGACCGGGCCAGGAGCAGCCTGGCAGAGTACTGGCATGGGGAGCACCAACTTTGTGGTCAGATGGTGCTTGATTTAACCTGTCTTAAATGGTCTCAGAGGAAAGAGGGAAATGGTAGTAATTCCCAGTGCATATTGCTGTTAAACACACTAAGCTTTCTAGCACAGCATCTGGAAGAAATGACAAACTCAATCCACCATGGGACGTCTGTTTCTCCCTCTTACCGACATATTAATACACTGGCATTGTGCAATTTGCCAGTGAAAAGCAAAAATCAAGCTACATTCCAGTTCTGCTTTCTGTTATCTTCCTGTTTGATATTTTTATGAAGATATTGCAAACAAAATACATTGTGAAAAGGAAAACCTTTTGCCTCTCACTCAGAAGTAGTGCTCTGTGCTGCTGTGCAAATCTGTGCTTGGCCGGCTGAGGATTTCCCAGCTTCCAGGCACTCATGGGCCAAGAGCTGAGCCTTTCACATCAAAGCCCCCTTTCCTCCTGCACTTATCAAGAAAAGGTAGTAAGGTTTGAAATCTCAGAAGAGCGAAGACAGGAGGAAGAGATGTGGTTTGTGCTAATTATGCTGCTTTTAAAAAAAATTAATGTGTAATTTCAGCATGCTAACATTTAATTTTGTCTCCCTGCAGTGTGTCCCTTCTTTAAAAAAAGTCCAGTTGCCTTCTCTTAGCAAGCTGCCTTTCAAATCTATAGATCAAAAGTTTATGGAAAAGTCCAAGAATCAATTAAATAAGTTTTTACAGGTAAGGAGAAGAAAAGTTGTGGGTATTAGAGGAAAAATGTTTATTTTTCTGTCCTCTTTTTACTCATTTGTTTCCCATCCCCACAGATGATGCCAGATCCTCAAATTATCTTTAGGGGATAGAGTTTATCTTGGGGATAGAATTTAAGTCTGCCATGCTCACAAAAATAGCATAAAATAAGTGAATAACTTCCCTATTTCACAAACTGAACATACTTTGTTAACTATCTGGCCAGGAAGCCCCCAAAACCCTGCAATTCACTTTCCATCATCGCTCCCTCCCAAAGGTGACCTGGACGCTCACATTTTCACTTCTGACAATGGAGAGAGTAAGGGTTATTTGACAGAGAGGGTTAGTACTGTAAATGAAACCAGATAGCAAGTACTCCTGGGTGTCTGACGTATCATTCAGCACTGCGTTCCTGACAGCCAGTCGGTATTCTGACTTAGATGTCCATCATTTGTTTTCATTGTTGCCCGGGTTTTCCATGAGAATGAAAGGCCCACTTGGTCTGCTCATCTGCTCCGTAAGAGCTTGTGAACAGTTTTCTGTTGGAAGCTAGTATGAAGGGTGCATCTGTACACTTTAAATGCCTGCCTTGGGGTGAATGTTTGTTGGACAATACCTAGAGGTTGGTATTGTTTCTCTCAGTGGTTGGAGCAGTTTTCACACACTTGCCAGTCGTGTGGCAAGTTCCTGGTGGCCTCACATCTTATTTTCTTCCTTTTTCTTTATAGCCATTTTGGTGGGTCTGTAGTAGTTTCTCACTGTGGCTTTCATTTGCCTTCCCTGATGATTAATGGACTTGAGCAGCAGTCCTTGTGTTTTTGCCACTTGGCTGGTTTCTTTAGTGAAGTGCCTGTTAAAGTTGTGTCAACTACTCTCTCATGTTGCCTGTCTTTTCCATATTGCTGTGTGATGCAAAGACAAGGCTTGCGAATTCTGAAGTTGTGCCCAGAGAAACATGTCTTCGGTCACACTGCCAGTAGGTAGGGTGGGCAAGAAAGACTTTCAACTACACCAAATGGCACAGTGGTCTAAAGTCACCATTTGACTTCTGACCAAGAGGTTTTTACATTAGGAGATAATGGCTTTGATTGGTTTTCATTTCTTTGAAGTCTTTTTGAAGGTGCTAACTTCAGTATAGTTAGAGAGGCCACAACCACGGAACTATAATTGTAGAATACCATCCTGCCAGTGGTAGACAGAGAAAGCAAGATGTGGAATGCTTTGTCACAAGGACAAATGCTCACAGGTCCACAGAACCTTCCTAAAAAAAAAAAAGAATTCAATTGGAATGTTGTCAACTTGAATGTTACATACAACATAGTTCCCTACCAAAATGTACCAGCGTTACATATAGTTAGTGACCCAGCTAATTTGTTCTTGGCCATGCCATCACTTATATCTTCGTCATTCTTACAGGTGTCTCCCCTGCTTCCCAAGTGCTTCACTGACTCAAGCCACACCAAACATGGTGGTGGTTCCACCTTGTCACTCTGTGTCCCACTCTTGTATCTGCATGTGACACTTGTCTTCTCGGAATGCTTTACTGCTTCTCCATCATTTACTCAACAGTCATCTTAGATCTTCATGGGACTAGAGTCATGTTCTCTAATAGGTCCTAAATATATTCTCCTAATTTCCTTTACTTGAGAGTTTTTGAGGTGTGTATGGGGTGAGGAAAATGGAAATGAGATTCCACTTTTAGAAAGCTTAAAAATAATAACTCCCAATTACATAATGCCCACAGACATAATTTGGGGGAACATTTCTAGCTTTTATAAAACATTTCATTTTGTTATTTTCCTTCAAAAAAGAATTTAAGCCAAGGCTTATCACTCTTCATAATTTCCTAAATTATATTGATTATGTTAACTTTGAGATTTATCTCTCCTATAATGTCTTCTAGTTTTTTTTTTTTATTAGTGAAACACCATGAGGTACAGTTGTAGATTTACAAATTTTTGTGCTTGGATTTCGGTCATACCATGATCAAATACCCATCCCTCCACCAGTGCCCATTTTCCACCACCATGAATAATATCCCCCCCCATCCCCCCCATCCCCCCCTGCCACTGTGGCAGGGCATTCCCTTTTGTTCTCTCTCTCCTTTTGGGTGCCGTGGTCAGCAAAAGAGGCATTGAGTGGCAAACATGTTCAGTCCAGTCTACTTTCAACCTGCATCTCCCCTCCTGGGAGGATCCTCCAAGCACCCTCCATTTGGTGCTCCCTTCTCTATCTGAACTGTCCTTTCCCCTAGAATACCCGGCTGGCCTCTAAGCTATGGAGTAATCCTCCTGGTGCTGATCTCAGCTATTCTTGGGTATTAATCTCATACTTTGTTACTTTATATCCCCCAGATGAATGCAATCTTTCTATGTCTATCCCTCTCTTGCTGACTCATTTCGCTTAGCATGATACTTTCCATGTTGTACCACTTGTATGTAAATTTCATGAATGTCTTCTAGTTTATAAAATAATGTCTGGATGCATATTAGCTTAAAGGAAATCAAATTAGTTGGAAAACTGTTGCTCTTTCTAATACACCCTCACCTACATGTTGACCTGAACATTTAATACCCTGGAAAATGAATTATAGACCAGTTTGTTAGGTTCGGGGGGTCATGGCCCCACTGTTCTCTCCCCTTCATCTCTATCACTACCGAGAGACATTTATGGCCCATCTTTTTCAGGGGATATGGAGCTGGCACCTCCGCCCCTGAAAGCTGGCCGTGCCTTTGAGCCCTCATTCACCCTAGTATGGTTGTGTTGGGGTCTCTCAGAGATGGTTATTCTAAGGAAGGTCAGAGGGTATTCAGATCTTGTGAGGTGTGAGCATCAAAGACCAGTCTCTCTAGGATGAGAACCTTATCTCTTACCTACTGTCCCCATCTCTGTCTTCAGAAGCACAGTCCTCCCCCCCCCCCGAAGTCTGTCTCTCCCGAGGGAGTTATATCATAAATGGGGGCGTAATTCATACCATTGCATCCTGATTCCCCTATATATTTTGGGGGTTGGAGGAGGCTTGAAAAGTTGTGCTTGAGGGTCCTGGCATACTTTCCACCATTCTCTCTCTCTGTCTCTCTGTCTCTCTGTCTCTCTCTGTCTCTCTCTCTCTCTCTGCACTCAAAGATCACTCCTGGTGGTGCTTGAGGGACCATATGGGACGCTGGGATCATACCCTAGTCGCCATATGCAAGGCAGATGCACTCCTTGCTGGACTCTTGCTCTGGGCCCTCTACCCACCATTCTCAACCAAGCAGACAGTCAGCTCCATGCTGGAGTCTGAGGAAATGGTGCTACTAGGGAACTGGGCTTCATCAGGCCTCCAGGGCTGTAGCTAGTGATATTTTTGGGGGGCTGAGGATTGAACCCTTTATCATCTCCTTATCTTTCCAACCGAGCCCCTCCCCACCCTGTATCTTTTTCGGGGGATAGCCTGGGTCACGCTCAGTACTTCCAGCTCTGTGCTCAGGGATCACTCCCACCATTGCAGTGTTGGGGATCAAATCAGGGTTGAGAGCATGCAAGCCAGTGCCCGACCCTCTCTATAAGCTCTCCGGTTCTCTCTTTGGGGGAGGCATTTGAAAACTCTTTTGGTCACAGTATGAATTTGATTGTCTTTTCAAAGGCTTTGCTAGTATATAAATAAATTTGACTTACGTCTGCTTTTTCTCCTCCGGTCAGACAAAAAGATTAAGAGATTAAATGTCTGGTTTAAGGACCACCAATACAAGCTGTTCTAGGCTTGTGTGAGCCAGCGAGAATGCAAACCAGTGCTTGGTGGCTGTGCCACTTTTCAGCTTGACATAGAAAGTCTGATCACAGCCATCAGAGGGTGGCTAAGTGGTACCCTTGGGTTCTGTGCCATGACATTGTTCAAACACCAATGAGCTGAAGAAAGGTCAGTGCTCAGCAGTGGGGTCCCTGGACCAATGGGCGAAGTGCAAGTCGAGGCGATTTGGTCTCAGGCAGTGAGTGCCAGGGTCAGCAGCCTGAGGGCAAGGTCAGCAGTCCCCCATGAGCAGGATGCCAAGGGCACTCAGCTGAACGGCAGAGGAGCATTATATAGCGTTATAATGGCAGAGGAGCGAAATACAGACATCACAGGGAGTCTGTCCAGTAGATTTTATTTCCGGGGTTGGGGGAGCATTCAGGAAAGTGATTTTAAGTTCGGAGTCACAAAGGAAGTCAACGTCCCTGACCCGGCCACTTCCCCCGAGATGGCCGTAGCTGGTATTAGCTCTCAGCAGCCCAGACGTGCTCTTCGTCACCACTAATCCTGTCTCTTTCATCCACAGAATCTGCTCTCGAATGAAAGACTGTGCCAGAGCGAAGCCCTTTATGCCTTTTTGAGCCCTTCTCCTGACTACCTCAAGGTTATTGATGTGCCGGGAAAAAAACCCAGTTTTTCCTTAACCTCATTTCTGGAAAGACTTCCCCGGGACTTCTTCCCTCACCAGGAGGTGAGCTGTCCCACGGGCCACCCCGTTTTCACAGCATAGTTAAGCGAATATCTCCCTGGAGGCTGTTTGCTGGAGACCCTGCTCCCAGCTGGGGAAAAAGCAGATACATTTCATTTTCACTTGCTATCGGTGTCACATCTTGGGACACCTGCTTCTACCCAGCCCTTTCCCCCCATCCCAGCCTCCCACCCCCACCCCACCTACCACCAGCCACCTGAGTTAAGATCCAGAAATAAAAGATGAGGTGGTAGGTGAGTGAAAGGTGGAAGGGAGGGGTTCTATGGGAGCCCCCCTTATGGTGGAGGGATTGCAGGTGAAGGTTCTGGAGCGGAGCATGCACTTGAGGGAGAGGCAGTAGGTTTCTGGAACATTAATTCTCCCTCTGCTTGTTCCTGGAGCTTCAGCTCTGTCCTCTCCACAGACATTCGAGCGACTCTCACCTGTGCCCCCACCCCCACCCCCGGCCTAGGCTCCAAAAACATCCCTCTGCTTGTAGAATTAGCATTTTATTTATTTTCTAAAAATTATGTTTTCTTTTAATTAAAGAACTGTGGTTTACAAAGTTTCTGATCTTTGCATTTTAGACATGTAATATTCTATCACCAATCCCACCACCAGTGTGAGCTTCCCTCCCCCAGGGTCCCCATAGTCCCTCCCCATCCCGAATCTCCACACCCCCCCCCCCCCCCCCCCGCCTGTCAACTTAACAAGGCCCGTGACAAAGTGTCATTGGTTGCTGCGCAGACCTCATGTTTTTCAGCGTTGTTGAGTCTCTTTTGGATGTATGGCCACACCCCTCACCCATATCATCAGAATAACTGAAGTCCTAATACCTGCTCACCCATTACTTCCCATTCTCTTCTCCCTCCCTTGATTTCTTTCTTTTTCTGTCCTCTCGCAATACTGTGGTCAAGGTGATGTAGGCATCACCTTTTCACTATAGTACGTTTTCTCATCCGGTATTCTGTACACCACAGAGAAGTGAGGTAAGTGAGAACCAGAGCTGCCTGAATCTGTCGCTCTCTCCTGGTAGCAGTGGGCCAATCAAAGTCTCAAGTCAGGCACCAGCCTGGGCCTGAGGGGAAATGAGTTTCTAAATGAAACTTGCTGATCGGAAGATCAGGAAACGAGACTAGCTGAACTGTAAAAGCTTAGTGTGAGTTTTAAAAATAACCGCATCACACTAAGATCCTCGCCCTTCTTAGAAAAAAAAAAGCGAAAGAATGTAAAATCGTTTACAATAAAAAAGCCTAAGCTCCAAATGGTTAGAAAACTTATTGTCTAGCTCATTCCTTATTTAGACAGTGAGCAGAGTGCTTTCAGAATTATTCTGAAGTTCATGTTAAGGCTTGAGAATCTAGCTTGTCCCCAAAATTCATTACTCATAGCCTTCTCTGTGGAAAATGCGAAATTTCTGCATTTAGGAGAGTCAATGGCATATGCAAGGCTGAAGTATGTGCATGTGGAACTAACACTTGGAAAGGGAGAACCACTCTACCAGCTCTCTTGGCTAAGTGCTGTGCTTCCTATGTCTTCCATGTGTGCAGGAAGAGACAGAAGAGGACAGTGATCTGTCCGACTATGGGGATGATGTGGACGGACGCAAGGACTCCCTGGCTGAGCCGTGTTTCATGCTGATTGGGGAGATTTTTGAACTTCGAGGAAGTAAGCCTCTTTGTTATTATTTGGTGGTTAGTTGGTGCACATGATCACACACATATATATACTTAATTCCTCCCCCCCTTTTTTTCTGAATCACAAGCATATTTACATTGACCAAATCATATACAACATAGACAAGGTGACACTAGAAGCTGATGATCCACCTTAATAACTGAAGCCATCACTACATTCCTGGAATAGACTGACCCCAGACCATGTTTCTCCGGATGGAGAAATGTTGAATGCTCTGGATTTCTTTGTATAAGACTGTGTCACTGTCACTGTCCTCCCTTTGTTCATCGATTTGCTCGAGCGGGCCCAGTAATGTCTCCATTGTGAAACTTGTTGTTACTGTGTTTGGCATATGGAATATGTCATGGGTAGCTTGCCAGGCTTTGCCATGTGGGTGAGAACACTCTCAGTAGCTTGCCGGGCTCTCCGAGAGGGGCGGAGGAATCCAACCTGGGTCAGCTGACCTGGCCGTGTGCAAGGCAAATGCCCTACCACTGTGCTATCACTCCAGCCCAGTTCAGAGGAGACAATCATATTTAAGAATTGTCTTCTGTCTACCTAACTATCCACTGTTTGGGCCACACTGGTGTTACTCAAGGATTCCTTCTGGTTCTGAGTTTGGGGATCATTCCTGGCAGTACTCAGGTAACTTTATGTGGTCCCAGGGATCGAACCAAGGTCACTTGCATCCAAGGCAAGCATTTTATGTCTACTATCTCTCCAACCTTAAGAATGTTCATTACCACAGTTACATTAATTGGAGAGTTTGAACTAAACTTCAGAAATAGAGGACAGTTTAACCATTTAAGAAATATCCATGTAATGGACTCATCCAGATATTAATCTTCTTTTTTTCCATATTTTTAATTTATTTTTTAATTTTTATTAGCGAGACATCATGAGGTACAGTTGTAGACTTACAAATTTTTGTGCTTGGGTTCCAATTATACAGTAATCAAATACCCATCCCTCCTTGGAGCTTGAGAGATATTAATCATCTTTTCAAATGAAAGAAGGCATGTTGCCAGACCAGGGAGATGGCTCTAGGGAAGCAGTGCACGCATGGTATACTGAGACCTGGCATTTAGTTCCGGTACCCCACGGTCCTCCTGAGCCCCAATGCTATGTGACCCTGAACAGCACTGGACTGAGTATCACCTGGAGTGGTCCTGAAACTCCCAGAGCATTACTTGGAAGACACCCCTAAGGCTCCCCCAATGGAAAAGATACTGTCGTTACATACTTTAGACACTTGTATAGGGGATGTTGAACTCAATTCTATGTAAACAGAAAAAAATAGTCCTCAAGACATACACTGGAGTTTAACTGGAGTCAGTATTGACAGAAAAGACAAGTTCTTCACCCAAAGTTTGACTCCTCTTCAGTGACCCCTGGTCATTGAATATAAGCCCATCGGTTGAACTCAGTTCTTCTGAGCTGCCACTGTGGCCTTGAACCACCGAGTCTTGGAAAGGAATAGCAGGCTGTATCATCTGTGGCACAGTCTGTGGGAGTCAAGGACCAAGGACTCATCAAGTTGAGGAAGGGGAGCATCAGTGATAGGAGAGAATTTGTAACACCATCATTTCTGGTTTCTGTCCGCATTGAAGAAGGAACCTTTTGGATATGTAGAAACTCATCGCTGGGCTGGAGAGTGTTCTTCCCCGGTGGCATACAGACCCTCGAGGAGAGAAAGGCAAAGTCTCATAAGGAACAGACCTGTACTCCAGGCTCCATCAGGAATCGAAGGCAGGTTTGAGCCTTTGGAGGTTCTGACTCCAAGGCTTGACTTGTGCTTGGAAGATGAGCCATTTCTGTCACAGGACATTGACATGCCATCACAGTCAGAAATGATGCTGGACTACTTTCAAGTTTAGTCGGAATGCTGTGCTTGTTATCAGTGTGCGTGTGTGTGTGTGTGTGTGTGTGTGTGTGTGTGTGTGTGTGTGTTAGAGAGAGACAGAGTTGAGGGACTTATGCAGAGGTGTAGAGGTGTTGGCTTCCTGACTCCTGGCTTCTTTGTGGCCAAGTCTGAAACTCCTTACTTCCTCCGGTGTTAGTAGTCAAGCAGTTCGTCAAATGGAGAAGGAATGCTTAGTAGAAAGTGTGGGTTGGATTACAATTCGTGGACTCATCAAGTTAAGGAAGTGATGGGAGAGAATTTGTAACACCATCATAATATTTCTCCAAAGCTTTTCTATGAAAATGCATCTGCTTTTAGAGCTTATGTCTGCAGAACCCTTTATGACACACAAATTGTTGACACGGCCTCTAGAGCAAAAATAAAAAGGAAATGTTGGACACTGTCCTTTCCCAAGTGCAGTCACAGTGCTCAGGGTGATTGTCCCCAGTTGTGTCTGACTTCACAGCCCACTCAGTGTCCCGACTCTCTTCAGATCACTTTTCTTTCTCCAAAGGCATAAAATATTTAAAAGTATTTGATCACCTCCAAACATGGGTCTTAACATTCATGCTGGGAACATTCAGACCCACTAGTTCATTAATATCTCAAAATATATGTCAACATTTGACTACAGATGTTTCTCATTCAGGAACAGTGTGTTCAAGAATTGGGTTGAACCAGCCAGAATTTTAAAATAGGAGTTTGACTGTGTACTAGCGGAAAACAGACGCTTTGTTAGGAGCCTGGGGTAAAGCTTGCATACTACTCACAGACTCAGCTGTTTAGGCATAGAAAACCATAAACACCTTAGATTCCATCACCTCAGTTGCTAAGTATGAAATCAAAACTTAGAAGAATTTTCCTGGGCAGACACTTGGGAACCTAAAGAACAAATTCTGCGGGCATGAAGGCACTCAGATTTGATGTCAGGGTGAAGATTGAGTCAAGTGGTAAGACTGATGCAACTGTCAGTCTGGGGAGATGTCTTCTAGGGCTGATGCAAAGGCTTTGCCTTCAGAGGAGTCCTGGAGTCCATCCCTAGCAACTGTATTGTGACCTGAGCACCAAGCTGGGAGTAGCCCCCACCGCTGCCTGGTGTGGTCTCAAAACAAACCATTATTTATGTTTTACATGGCTTTGAAAAATGTCTTAACTGTGGTATCCTGTGGTAATATATTTTCTTTGATTTATATTTTAGTGTTTAAATGGGTGAGAAGAACATTAATTTCACTCGTGCAGGTCACTTTTGGGAGAACCATTAACAAGTAAGTTGCGCAGAATTAATATTTGAATTCGTGCCCCCACTCTTTCCCTTCAGTCATATTTCCTTTTCAGAATCCCAATAGCCAGTGATTTCTCTTATGGGGGGGGTGGGCTGTGTGGTGCGGGGGATGGAATCAAGGCTCCTGCATGCAAGGGTTCTCTGCAGCCACGTGAACTACCCCCTAGCTCCTAAGGCAACCTTCTCTTCCTCAGTAGTGACAGGCCTTGGCTGAAGAGATTTCCTAATGGCCTTCCTTTTCTCCAGACCTTAGCTGTGCTATTTGTTTTCCTCTTAGTTTCTCGGCAAACCGTGCATGATTTTCCTGCTCCTGTCGGGATCCTAGTTCTTCATGGTCAGAGCAGCAGCAGTAGTTTGTGATTGTTGATGGCGGATGACTGTCATCTCTGGGGGCTGGAAGACAGGTTTATGTTGAGACTGGGCCTATTCTTCCAGTCAGGCAGAGAGACTACACAGTACCTGGCCCTTGGCTATTTTTACCATTAGCAGACGATGACACATACTGTGTGCTTCTTCCCTTATGCCAACTGTCATGTCACTGACCAGAATTGCTTCAAAAGATTCCCAGAGGGCTAAAGAGATAGTACAGTGGGTAGGGTGCTTGTCTTATACACGGCACACCTGGGCTTGATCCTCAGCACCTCAAATGATCTCCGAAGCCTCTCCAGGAGTGATTCCTGCACACAGAGCCAGGAGTAATCCCTGAGTACTGCCTGGTGTGCGCCACCAGGCCATTATATGATGATGATAATAATAATAATAATAATAATAAACTCTTCCCAGATCTGGGCTGGCGTGAAGGTGAGATCTAAGTGGGTAAAAAATACTCATGATGTTTTTGGTAGGGGTCACTGACACTAATTTTAAGTTGTAAACTAAAATTTTCTCATTTCTCATGGGGCCAGTGAGTAAGCCAAAGCACAAGCACCTGGTAACTAGGATGCCTATCCTGATACACAGGGTTTTCTCAGGAATGCCGATAGAACATCCTGGCTATTAAATAATAACATTTTACTTGACCTCATGTGATCTGAATGGTCAAAGTTGTGAGCCCTGTGGGGAAGTATCCTAGAGCTCTGTGTGCGATAAGAGTGCATGTTTCTCTCAGGAAAGAGTATAGGCTTGGGTAACGCCTGAGCGCCACATGCCACGCCCTGCCCTCTCTGCTCAGTGGCAGTTTAGTCCTCGTGGGACCAGTGCCTGTTCCATGGCACTCTCAGGAGACCCCACCGTGCAGCCTTGTGAGGCGTAGGCTCTGCCAGAGAGGTCTGTGTGATCACGCTGTGACTTTTGCCTTTGCCTACAGTAAACTCACCAAACCATGTTTTTCTCAATTCGTGTCCCTGTCATTAAAACAACGCTTTATGACTGCTCAACCTGACACCTCTATTTCCTATGATGTCTCCACCCCCCCACCCCACCCCCACTCTCACTTGTGTAAGATTTAGGAAAGCACCTTAATGGTAAATGTAAGATTTAGGAAGGCACCTTAGTTGGTGGTGATGATTCATAAATGAGTTTCTTTCTTTTTTTTTTTCCTATCTTGAGACTATATCCACTAGACAGAATATGTTTGTTTTACTTCCCCCCTTTATTTAAACACTGTGGTTTACAAAGTTGTTCAGGAGAGTTTGCCTCAGGTATGCAATATTCCAACACCAAACATGAATGAGTTTCAACTTCTAGCTCTTTCTGCCACCGACACCCAAAGATGACCCTTTTTTCACCCTTTTTTAGCAGAGACCTCCTCTTGCCCACTTCCCAGCCCTTCTTGGGCTCATTCTAGTATGGCTGTCCTGCCAGCAGGAGTATGGAAAATCTGGACCATCCTGAGACATCTGTGTGATTGCACAAAGCACCCTATTTTTATTTCCCTGCAAATTTGACTCTGGGCTTACCCAGAAGTGCTTCTCTTCACAGTCCTTCACTTGGCAGAGAAAGAGGGCATCATATCTTGAGCCCATGATATTCCCCCAGTGGCAGGAGTACTCAGTCTAGTGCAGTCTGTGCCATCAACTCCAAGAGTCAACCCCCGGGGGAAGGCATCTCCAGATTCCTCCTTCTGAATCCTAGGGGGATTCAGAACACTGGGAGCATGTTTTATCCCACTGTGAGGAGAAATGTGTGCACTAAATAATGCGTTTCTGGTAGCAAACTCCAAGCAAACCTGCCCCTTTCCTCTTGGTTCTTGTCTTTATGAGTGACGGGGTTCGGGCTGCATGGCAAATATTCGCAGCTGTCACTGCAGCGAAAATGTGTCCTCAGGGGATTGACCACATCTGGTGTTGCCCCACCAAGTGTAATCATAGACAATTCCTAGTTTATTCATCAAACATTTGGTCTGTGTCTTAACGCTTCTGTGGGTACATGCCTTTTGAGATAGACTATAAGCAATTTCACAAAATGATATTTCCTAGAAATGTATGTATTTTTTCTCTTAAAAGACAACTCCGAGACATGGTGCACTGGATTATCAGTGAGCAAATGGTGGTTTACTACATTAATACTTTCCGGGATGCAGTTTGGCCAAATGGGAACTTGGCGCCATCGGCTTCAAGTAGGAGCTTCGAACAAAAACAGGAGACAAAAAAGAGAGCCCAGCAGAAGCTGCTAGAACACATTCCAGGTGAGAACAAGGTTCTTGTCCTGAAACTTACAGAGATAAAAAGAAATATAAACCCAAAAGGCAATACTCAAGTGATCTCTCTCTCAAAAAAGTATTATCAATTAAAAAAAGACTATGCATTGTTCTTTTAAGTCATATCTTAGCCCCTTGCTAATAAATTATACTGACATTCTTAAGATTAGTATTCGCTATAATATTTTACTTGAACTGGAAAGTATTTTAGGTAAAAAGGTAAAAGGTAAAGGCCCTCCCGTTGTTCGTCGATTTGCTCGAGTAGGCCCAGTAACGTCTCCATTGGAGACTTTGTTGTTACTGTGTCTGGCATATCGAATACGTCACGGGGAGCTTGCCAGGCTCTGCTGTGTGGGTGAGATACTCTCGGTTAAATATTATGCTTTAAAGCTTCTATAGAATATACTATTCTAAGAACTTTTAATTGGTTAGCAGTCTATCAAAATTGTGGTTTGTATGAATGCTTAAGGTTGAACAAAATCTTTTAGAAATGTATCTTTCACTTTAAAGTTTCAAAAAAATTGGTTATTCATCTTCCTTATGCCCCAGTGTTTTTACTTAATGTGTATCGGGTAATACTAGCACTTTACTAAATATGCATTGTGCATTTTTTACCAATAGCAGCCTAGGACATAAATTTACTTTTTCAGATATGCTTCAGAGCCTTGTTGGACAGCAAAATGCTCGTCACGGTATCATAAAAATATTCAATGCCCTGCAAGAAACAAGAGCAAATAAGCACCTATTATATGTGAGTAATTTTAAGCCTTACGAAGATTAACTGCTCCCGTCCGGGAGAAGTTCCCATATGGGGGGTAGAATTGTGTGGTCTGTGTAGGGCGGATAGATTTGGGTGTGTTTGGATGTGGGGGGTAGAGGTTTGTGTGTGTGTGTGTGTGTGTGTGTGTGTGTGTGTGTGTGTTACACATGCTTATGTACCTGTGTTTTCTAGGACCTCATACATGCAAGAAATGTGCTTTACCACTAAGTTGCACTCCTTCTAAATCCATTATATTCTAAATCATCCTTGGTATAATTATGAACCCATTCATTTTGGTTCAGTCCATTCCCTGCCCCCCCTCCATCCCCCGGTGGGCACAGCTGCCCCATTCTCTTTCTGGACCTGTGATACGCAGAAAGTGTCTGCATAATGGCTTGGCTTTCTCATTTCAGCAAAGCCTGCTCTTATCCAGTCATCTGGGTTCATAATTAGCTATACATTACATGTATTATATCAGACCAGCATTAAGGAATGGTTCGATAAAGATGAAAATGACTTTTTTTGAGGCTCCAGGGAGTTTATCGATACTGACTGGTTTGTTTGAGAGTCGTTTCAGACCTTAAACTCAACTTTCATCTTGACATATTTATTTGAGTAAGCCTTGAGAGAAAACTCACTTTCTGGGCCTTTGTCCTTGATTAAGGTGCTGCTGGAACTGCTGCTGATTGAACTGTGTCCTGAGCTGAGGACGCATTTAGAGCAACTCAGAGCTGGCCAAGTCTGAAACCGCACAAGTCAACCACCAGAGAAATGTCTGTGTAATAATAGACATGAAACATTTTCCTCTTTTCCACAGAGGGCTCAACGGGGAACCACATTGATTTTTTATTTTGCAATTACCTCCCTCTAGTTTTATGTGAAGTAAGCAGAGTGGGGGTGGGGGACTTGATGCTGTAGTGGGTAACAGAAAAAAATTTTTTCTGTTAATTACTGGTTTTTATTTTAATAGTCATATAAATATGGTACAGTTCAGCATACTGACTGAAATACAAATGTTAATAGGTGATAAGACCCTAGGAAATATTTTAAATATTTATGAAAAGTTTGTTTAAAAATAAACTATGAATATTGTACAGTTAATTTCCTCACTGAGGATTCTGAACATTCCTGTATTATTTCATGTGTTTGGAGAACATTGTTGTGCAATGCTGTGTGTAAAATTATTGTGAAAACTCTACTCTTTATTTTTACCAAAGATTTCCCATAGTTTGAAGCATTTGAAGCAATAAAATATGAAAACGAATCAGAAGTCTACGGCATTTTAGATGTTTGTATCTCAAAAAGGAAGTTGAAACATGTCAGATATTGGTCAGATGCCTTTTTTTTTTTTTGATAGAAAACATTGTGCATAGTTGCATATAAAGGGGGGGGGGTTAAATGTTTGTTTGTTTTCACAGAATGAATATGTGGAAAAAAAAGAACTTTCAGTGTGACTGAGATGAGGGAAATTTGTGCTTGCTGGGATACATTAGGGAGTGGGGCTGTGATCTGACCTTGAAAGGGTGGGCAGGCCTGATGGGGAAACAGAAAGAGGAAGAAGTTCCTGCAGAGAGATTAGGGTCTTGATAGTGTCACCAAGTTTCAAGGACAAGTATGAGCTTTCGGTGGCATCCCGGGCAGATTTGTTTTCCTATTCCTAGTGGGTTCATGGGCCTAGGGAGGTGGGTCTGAGCAGTAGCACGTGGGCACCTTAGGCGCTGCTGTGTGCATCTCTGGCTCCTGGACCTCCCCTCGAAAAGCACAGCAGGGTCATGGATCGGTCACTGTCATGATCCTCCTGTTGTTCATCGATTTGCACCAGTGGGCCCAGTAACATCTCCATCGTGAGACTTTTTGTTACTATGTTTGGCATATTGAATATGTCACAGGTAGCTTTGCCATGCGGGTGAGATACTCTCGGTAGCTTGCCGGGCTCTTGAGAGGGGCGGAGGACTCGAACCCGGCTCGGCCGGGCCGGCTGTGCGCAAGGCAAACGCCCTACCATTGTGCTATCGCTCCAGCCCATGGATAGGTACTTAATTAATTTGTTAAAATTATTTGTAATTGGTTGTGTAATTATTAAATGCATTGTCTCCCATGACCTCCAGGAGGGTTGGAGCGATAGCACAGCAGTAGGGTGTTTGCCTTGCACGCAGCCAACATGGCCGACCCGAGTTCGATTCTTCCGCCCTTCTCGGAGAGCCCGGCAAGCTACTGAGAGTATCTCGCCCACACGGCAGAGCCTGGCAAGCTACCCGTGACGTATTCGATATGCCAAACACAGTAACAACAAGTCTCACAATGGAGACGTTACTGGGCCCGCTCGAGCAAATCGATGAACAACTGGAGGACCGTGTCTGTGACCGTGACCTCCAGGAATGAATGATGAAAATGCAATCAACAACATTTTCTGTCTACATCCATGAAAGGAAAACAATCTATAAAAATAATCTATATAATAAAGTGGTATTAATTTTATCACAGACTAACATTTAGCTTTGGGCTTCTCCTAGTAAGACCTCTTTGACTTTTTTTTTTTTTTTTGGTCAAAATCATGATATTTGACATTAGGAAAAAAAAAAATCAAAGAGGACAGTTTGTAGGATAACATTGGTTTGCCCTTCCTCCCTGGCCCCAGGGAGCTTGGGTTTGTTGATTGCTCCCCCAACCTGTCAATTACCTTTGCCTCCTGATCAGACTCTGCTGACTTGTAAATATTGTTTTTCTCTTCTTCTTAATGCCCTTTGCATGGCTAGTTACTTCAGAGCAATTACTTTTTGTATGGACACAGGAAGACAGTTAAAAAGATAAGTTTGTAACTTGAGAGTTAGTTGATTCCAGATAATTTTACCTTCTGGACATCTACTCTCTTGACTTAGGCCTTAGTTGACCTTCCTTCCTAGATCCCCAAAAGCAGAGTCCTGACTAGGGAATAGATGGACCCAGGGGAAGCGGTGAGCTATGAGCTACGCTAGCATCGAAATGGGCCTGGACGCAGTGCCATAATGCTTAACTATAAGTTAAGAGCATGATCACGAACGAATTCTGTCATGACCCAAAAAGTGATAACTAGATCCGAACCCTGCTAGGGTTAAAAATGATTAATCCGCCTGAGCACTGTAATCTGAGTCTGTGGCGATATGTCCCCAGGAGAGTCGTCCTACAAGCCTAATTGTGTCTATTATTGATTGTGCCCATACAGAATGGCAGATATGAGGAAGTAGAATTAAGATGTTAATTAAGTTACGGGTCTGATGAGAGGAGAAGCACACCTTAAGTGCTGTTTGGCCCTAGTAGACTTCAAGTGGTCGGGAGGCTTGAAAAACATGTTGATTACGCTTCCTGGGGGAAGTGGGGTTTGGGAAGCATGGTTAGAGAAGAGGTGATAAAAGTGGTGACTGCGGAAAGTAGGAAAGGGTGGAGAATTGGAGAGAGGCAGAGTGGGAGCTGTGGGCAGAGCAAGAGAGAGTTAGCGAGCGCCAGTTGGAGAGGACCTTGTGGAGCGAGTTAGAGAGAGGGTTGGAGAGAACTGAGAGAGTTGCGAGTTGGGGAGAGAGTTGTGGAAAGAGTTTGGGAGAGACGGAATGGAATAAACGGCAACTACTCACCAACCAGCTTGGCCCTTGTTCCTTCGTCGGCCCATGGCAACGGCCGTCCCAGGTGGGGATGCGATTCCAGAGCACTGAATGTGGGTGGCAAGAGAGCTGCCCACCGGAGAGCCCATGAACATCCTTTAATGTGTGATCCCTCATAGGGCAAAATGGGCAGAAGGAGTTTACATCGCTCCCCAGGGAAAGGTGATTACGCAGCAGTTTGCAGGGATTTCCCTGCCTTTGCCCTTTGAGGTTGAGCAGGACGGGGGTTGGAGCAAATACCTTACAATCATGGGCTCACAGTCAGGTCCCCAGCACCATAGCTCCGGCTCCCTGGCAATCACTGGGTGTAGACTGGAATCTCCTGAGCGCTGGTAGGATGTGTCCCTGGTGGTCCCAGCACTGCGTGGGTGCCCTTCATAGCCTCAGCCCTACAGGGCCCAAGCAGCTCCAGCTCCTCAGGATCTGGCCCAGTTGGTAGAGAATCACCAGGAATGGCCCCTAAGCACCAGAGTTTGGAGCCTCCCCTACCCCCCTCCCCCCCCAACACACATACACATCTCCCCCTCCAATTAGAGGCTGGAGCAATAGTACAGTGGGCAGGGTACTTGCTTTGCATGTGGCCAAACCGGGTTTGATTCCTGGAACTCCCTATGGTCCCCTGAACCCCACAAGAAGCAATCCCTGAGTGCAGAGCCAGAAGTAAGCCCTGAGCACAACACGGTTGCCCCCCAAACAAACAAACCAAAAAAATTACTCTCCAGGACTCTTTTGAATTTATATTTTCAAGAGATATGAGGAAGAAGTCAGGATTATTTGAAGATCTATCACAAACCTGGCGTTATATAAAAACCAAATGAAGTTCAGAAACATAACAAGAACAGCACTGGTTGCTTCCAGTCTTCCTGATAATATGGCACTGTTGCTGGGGTGAGATGTTATCTTATTGCAAGACTCCATTTTTTTGTTTAATTGAGTAACCGGTTGATTTTATTATTATTATTATTTAATTGACTCACAGTGAGATACACAGTTACAAAGTTGTTGATGATTGGGTTTCAGTCATATAATGTTCAAACACCAGTGTATATTTCCCACCAACAAACCAATGTCCCTACTTTGCCTCCTGCTCCCCACCCTCGTGGGCATTTCTCTCTCTTCTCTCTCTCTTTCTGTCTGTCTCTCTGTCTCTTTCTCTGTCTGTCTGTCTCTCTCTCTCTCTCTCTCTCTCTCTCTCTCTCTCTCTCCCCCTTTCCTTTTGAGCCTTATGATTGCAATACAGATACTGAGAGGTTGTCAGGTATATTCCTTTACCTACTTTCAACACTCAGTTCCTGTCCAAAACACACAGCAGAAACATTATCTGCATTTCTGTGTTCATTGCAGCACTGTTCACAATAGTCAGAATCTGAAAACAACCAACAATGCAAGTGCCGGATAACAAACCACTGGAAAAAGAAACTATGGTACATCTACACAGTGAAATAACGACATGGCTGTTAGGGAAAATGAAGTCATAAAATTTCTTGTAAATGGGTGGGCATGCAGAACATCAAGCTGAATGAACTGAATCGGAAGGAGAGGGACAGATAAAGAATGACTGCATCCATTTGTAGGATTCATTTCCAGATTTTGGCTATTGCGAATAATGCTGCAATGAACACAGAAATGGCAGATAACGTTCTGCTATGTATTTTGGACAGGACCTTGAGACTAATATCCAAGGCCAGAGAAAACAGAGGTCAGGAGGACTGATCAATGATCGGAAGCTTCATACCACAAGAGAGTCTGGGAGGTGAATGAGTGATGCTCCTTTTAAACTGTCATTAAAATACAGATCTGAGAAAAACCTAAGTGAGGAATCTGACAGGTATCATCCGTAGTAATAAGCTACACCTAAAAGTCTTCAGTAAACCCCCAAAAAAGAATTTAAAATCTCAGTCTGCTATAGGTTCCATGAAGCTCGTGCCCTGGGCACCTTAGAAGCTTCTGCCAACTGCACTCAGCAGATCAGAGTACACTTGGGCCAGTGACTGGGTCAGTCTTTAGCCCAGATGAGCTGAGGTCTTCAGATCGTTCACCTTTAAGAAAAGAAAAATCAAGACCTCTAAATTTCCTTCTGATAACTCAAGAAACAGTGAGAATTTATCTTAAAGATTCGACTCAGAACAATTGCTTTTCTCATTTGCACCACAAACTTAACTGTTTAAGTTAAAGATATTTCCAGTAACATCCGACATTTCCATCTGAGTTACAATGTGCTCCTGAGGGTGCCTTCTCACTGCATATCTTTCTGGAATCTATCTTTTCTGTATCCCTATGAATAGCAATCTGTTGGACAAAAAAATATTTGATAACTGCCATCTAGGTAGACATCTTATTTGAATCCTCTTCATAAAGGTTGCTGTGACTTATAAAGTCACATTATTTTTACAAAATTTAGTTGTCTTTAAGATGTATACTTTTTTTTTATATCCTTGTTTCAGAGATGTATAAAGCTTCACAGTGTTCTGCGCATAGATCTTATAGTTTTCAGTCAACCTTTGCCTTCAGAGATGTCTTAGGGAAAGCCTCTTGTAAATTTAATTTTATAATACTATCATCCTGCATTTGATAAGCTGTTTCACATATTTTCTCACACTCTACCTTACTGGGAAATAAATAGAAAGTTTCTAAAATGTGGAATATGACTTGAAGTATAAAAAACATTTTTAATTGATCGTCCTATCACAGACTACCAACAGGAATCTATCAGATGCTTTACTAAATTAAATTAGATCTTTAGGGACCAGAGCGATAGTACAGTGGGTAGGGCACTTGCCTTGTACATGACTGACCCAGGTTTGATCTCCAGCATCCGATATGATCCCTGAGCCCAACAGGAGTGATCCCTGAATGCAGAGCCAAGATTAAGCCCTGAGCACAGCTGAATGTGGCCCCCAAAACAAAAAATTAGAAGGTAAATAAAGATCTACAATGGAAAATAGGGTATGATACTAAATTTCTAAAAAGTAACTTTTTTGAAGTTTTTTATAAATTAGCCAATTATTTATAAGGGCTAGAGCGATAGCACAACTGTAGGGCGTTTGCGTTGCGTGCAGCCAGCCCGGCCGAGCAGGATTCGATTCCTCCGCCCCTCTAGGAGACGTTACTGGGCCCGCTCAAGCAAAATCGATGAACAATGGGAGGACAGTGTTTGTGTTTGTTATAAGGACAAGGTGTCTCAAAAAGATTTAGTACAGTCTTTTGAGGGGGAGACCACACCCAAGGGCGTCGTACGTTTAGCTGTCAGGAGTTGGGGTGCCAGGGGTTAAACCCTGCCCCTCACATGCAGAGCGTATCCTCAGCCTTTGAGTCGCCTCTCCCGTTCAGGAAGTCTTAGCTTTCATAACTTCAGAAGTATAAATGCTACATAAACTTCTAAAAAATCTTTAAAGCTTTTCATGTTTCTTTGACTTACGTAGTTTTATACATTTTAAACTGAGTTTTCAATGAAACAAAAATTTAAGATTACTCAAAATTCACCAAGCTCAACAAAGTCAAAGATATGTACAAAATTAAGACATTCAATAGTGTTTCTCAAAATAAATTTGTGGCTTTTGCTTTTTTTTTTTTTTTTTGAACCTCTAAAGTTGTTCAAACTAAGATGACACTAAGTATTTCAGAAACTGCACTTACGGAAGAAAAACATACTTGGTTTCTGCAATGGATTTCAATATTTGACTTGATTTAGACTGTAGGCTAAGAGCTGAGGACAATTGCATTCTGTAGTTAGGTTTTAAGTTGAAAAATTACAGAAAATTGAATGAAGTTTACATCATCATCAGAATTCCCAGAATAAAGTGACTTGGAATGCAGAAAACAGACACATATCCTGAGGGATTGGAATTGCTGATCTTGGCTGAAGTGCATTGTATTCTAAATTTTTTGATGAATAACTAAAGCTTGAAGCTCATCTGTCAATGCAGGGCTTAGATGACAAGCCTAAAAATAAAAAAAAAATAGATATTGTGAAATATTGGAATACTATGGAATTTTTTTTTTGTTTTGTGAGGGTAATTTTTCTGGGGGGGGGGAGTGAGGGGTTGGGCCACACCTATTCGTGCTCAGGCCTTACTCCTGGCTTTGTGCTCAGGAATTATTCCTTGAAGGGCTCAGGGGAATATATGTGCCGCTGGGGATCAAACTTGGGTTGCCAGCACGCAAGACAAACGCCTGCCCACTGTCCTATCTGGCTCCTGAGAGCATGTTTTTAAAAAGAAAACATTGTAGGGTCTGGGCAGATATCACAGACATCAGGGCCTCTTGCTTTGCACAAGGCTGGAGGCTCTGAGCACTGCTGGAAGGGGCAACAACACACTCTTGGGCTCTGAGGGGGGCTGTACCTCCAGGAAACCCCCCCCCCAAAAAAAAAGATACACTTCTTTTCTGATTTCCAAATAGCAGTTTAAATTAGTCTATCCAAATAGATTGTACTAAAAATAACCATGCTCATTATCATTTGAAAAAGAGAAGCATTTCATCAGTGACAATAATAAAGGGAATTTACACACAGATGCTAGTACCCAATGCCATTCAAATATGTAAAATGCCCACCATTATCTAGTGAATCATGGCAGCCAAGTGAACGGAAGTACTGAGGGTCATTATGTAAGTAAATAGGAAGTAGGTACCTCTTCCTTGCACTGAGTGTTGAGAATATGGAGACACAGCAGGGGTGATTGCATTCAAACCTCACTCTGAGCAGAAACTCTCCCTTTAAGGATCTGTGACAACTGGTCACTAGATATTTGGTGGTTGTTTCTAGGGAAAACTTTTGTTTATTTCCACAATAGTTTAATTAGGAAATGCTTCTTTACTTTAGATGCGAATTTCCCCCTGTGTGCTTCAGAGTCCCTGAGGGGCCAGGAAGAACTTATAGTGCTGCTCTGATGACACCAGAGGAGGTAGCATTATTGATGACCACCTGTGGGTAGTGTCAAAAGCATGATGCAATGGGTCCTGACGTTAGGCCTGTTTTTCTTTCAAGATTCAGGGTGATTTCAGTATACAGACTAGTTTGGGAACAACTGCTGTAATTTGATGAAATTCCAGTGAGGGTCTGAGAAAATTATTTCTTGCCTGTTCCCCTACTCAGACTCAACAATTTGTATGCTAAAATTGTAGTGGTATTGAAATTCTAATTTTGACTTCATGGACCTAAATTTGTGTGTGTGTGTGTGTGTGTGTGTGTGTGTGTGTGTGTGTTTGATTTGTTTTTCTTTTAAAAACGCACCTGGGCTAGGTAGATAATATAGCGAATAATGCATTTGCCTAGTATACAGCAATCCCCACTACACCATATGGTCCACCAAATAACCAGGAGTGATTTCTGAGCTCATAGCCAGGAGTAAACCTGGAGAAACACCGGGTGTAGCCCTCGGCCCCACCAAAACAAATCAGAACAAGAACAGAATAATAATACAGTGGGCAAGGAGTTCAAGTTGCCCTGAATGCAGCTGACCAGAGTTTGATCCCCAGCATCCCATATGGTCCCCCTGAGCACTGCAGGAATAATGCCTGAGTACAAAGCCAAAAGTAATTTCTGAGCATTTATGGGTGTGTGGGGGCCAAAAACAAAAAAACAAAAATGTGCATTTGAAGAGGTTGAATAATAGTAACATCGACATAGATACTGGTGGAAGGATTAGGCACTTTGGTTGAGAAGGGTAGAGTGAGTTTGTGCATTCATACCATCAATGTTAACTGTTACCTGCTAGTTGTAACTGTTACCTAAACTATAAGACTTTTTAATTTTTATTTTTTTGGTTTGGGGCTGGGGCAGGAACTAAATGCATGCATGAGTCTGCTGCAAGTAAAGGTAAGTACCTTAACCCTCGTACTATCTCTCCGACCTAATAAAAAAATACATCTGAAATGCACTTAGTTATTCTTCATAATGATTTCCCCTTTCCCTCTGGATACCCACTTTTCAGTTGGTACTTAATTGTAGAGATGAAAAGTATTTGAGTTCTAAATAAACTGATCAGAAGAAGTGAAACACAAAAAGGCTTATTTTAATGAATTGTATCAGGCTTACAAATATTCCCGTGTGGTAGAGGTCATGCATGATAATGGTTTTTAAAATCACAGTTCACCCAGGTACTAGAATACAAAATTTTGTATTTTTTGTTTGTTTTGGGGACATGCTCAGCAGTGCTCTGGGGGTTTCAGGAATCACTCCTGGCAGTAGTGGGGGGATCTTATGGGATACCGAGGATTGAACTCCAGTTGCTGCAAGTCCTACTCACTATACTGTCTTTACCATACCATCTCAACCCGACCCTCAACATTTTTTTCCTGGTGAGAGAGGACACGGCCATCTGAACTTAAACATTTTGGCATATTGGACACTTAGACTGCAGGTGGGAGAGCAGATAACTAGTTGTACCAAAATAGGCACAGGACATTTATGCTAATAAGTTCTGACAGAACTGTCTGCAGTCAGTCTACTTCTGTGACAACCACTGCAGAGCATAGTTCTCTGCATAGACTAGAAAAAATCATGAGTCCATAAAAGATGCTCAAGTCTCCAAAACACAAAAATTGATATCTGGGTCTAGTTATAGTAATTTCTCAGCTTACTTTAGAGTAATAGTGTTGAGCTGCTTCCTCGTCCTTTTTGATCCCCAGGCCAAGCTGAAGACAGCGCGCATAGTAGAAGGAAGCTGTGGCCATGCCCCTGGTGATGAATTCCTGGAGACAGTCTGTCACCTGGGCTATCATGGCGATATCGTGAACCTCATCATAGTCCGCAATCCTGTTAGGGTATTAAAACATGCAGTTAAAAAGAGCATCAGCTAAAAGCTACAGTTTTTACAAAATGCTTCCAAAAATATTTTTGTGCCAAAAGTGATTTTCCAAAGTGATCAGAATTATTTACTGTGCAGGAAAGGAGACATAGAACAATGGATACCAGTGAAGAAGGAAAAAAATGCTTCCTAAAGTTGCCATGCCTCAGGCTTATAACCACTAGGCAACAAAAGAAAGATTTCCTTTTTCTTGTAATATTGTTTCATAATGGGCTGGAGCGATAGCACAACAGGTAGGGCGTTTGCCTTGCAAAAGGCCAACCCAGCCAACCCCGGTTTGATTCCTCCACCCCTTCGGAAAGCCCTGCAAGCTACCGAGAGTATCTCGCCCACATGGCAAAGCCTGGCAAGCTACCCATGACGTATTCGATATCCCAAACACAGTAACAACAAGTCTCACAATGGAGACGTTACTGGGCCCACTCGAGCAAATTGATGAACAACGGGAGCACAGTGCTACAGTGACAGTGCTATTTCATAATATTATATATACTGATCTTATAATATATAAGGTATAATCTTAACACTACAGATTTGAACAATCAGCAGAACATTTTCTATTTCCTTGAATCATGTTTTTAAACCAGAAAATGCATTAAGAAACTAGCCTATCTTTGTTTAAAAATGAAGGCATATGGATGGCTAGAAGGTGTGTGGACAAGTGCTTGTCATTACTTTTCATTAGGGAACTACAGATCAAAATAACAGTGATATCATCTCACACCAGTGAGAATTGCTTATATCAAAAAGCCTGGAAATATCAGTGCTGAGAGGGACGTGGTGAGAAATGAGCCCATATCCACTACTAGTGGGCATGGCCTCTTGGTTCAAGCCCCATGGAAAGTGATATGTAGATTTCTTAAAAAAAAAGAATAGAATTCCTATATGACCCACTGATATGACTTCTTGGCATTTGAGTCTGAAAAATTAAAACATTAATGCATACCTGTGTTCATTGTAGCACTTAGTACAGTTGTCAGGATATGAGAACTTAAATGTCCAACTATGGATGAATAGTTCTGGCATATATAGACATAATGGAACACTATGCAGCTATAAGGAAAGATGAAGTCATGCAATTTTCTGCTATGTTGCTGGAACTAGAAGATATCACACTGCATGAAATGAGAAGGAAAGGGATAGGTACAGAACGATACACGTGGGATATTAAGATGAGAGTAAGAGGGCAACAAGTGGCCAAAGACAAGAGAACTAGAGATCTGGTTTTCAGAACTGCGCTTAGCTGGGGCACAGGGAAAGAAGAGCAGATGTAGGTGGGGCGTGGGTGGGATCGAGATATTGGTGGAAGGAAGCAGCACTCTGCGCTGGGTATGGTGTTGGAAACATATAAGCATGAGACAAGCATTGAGAGTATTATTAATCTTGGTACCTAAATAAAATTGGGGCTGTGGGCACCTCAGCAAGGTAATCCTTTATAAGTCTAGCCCTAATAGGAAGAACTGTGTGCAAGGGAGATGTAGTCAATGCCATGCTCACTGTTATATTACGAGAGCAGGAATCTGGACAATAACAGAACGTTCTTGAATTTTGTTTGTTTTTGCCTTTCCTTCTACCTCCTCCCCCAGACTGTTCTGAAGGTTTGTGTTGTGGATAGATATTCTCCAAAGTTTTCATTTTCACCAAATGGGCGCCAGAGGTTTGAGGTGTGATTTTAGGTGACCAGTTTCCTGAAAGTTAAAATAGTGGGAAGAAGAAGGTAGAACCGAAGTTGCTCTTTTGGTCTTCATCCTCCATGGGAGAGGGAGGCCCACCTCACACGGGCCAGAAAGAGGAGCCCTGAGCTCTGTCTCTTTTGGAAGAGCTTTGTGGGAGAAGCATCTTTAGGGTAACATGGCTAGAACTGGGTAGAATAAATTCTTCTGGCACATTACTTTTGTACATCATAGGAAGTGTGGAAAAGTACCTGGGCTCAGAGAAAAGAAACTTTCACATATTTTTAAGATATTAGTATAGATATATTTGAATCATCTTCACTTACAGTCCTTATCCAGCTAAGTTCGGGCTGGAGCGATAGCACAGCTGGTAGGGCGTTTGCCTTGCACGCGGCCCATGAGGCTGACCCGAGTTTGATTCCTCCGCCCCACTCGGAGAGCCTGGCAAGCTACCGAGGGTATCTCACCCACACGGCAAAGCCTGGCTTTACCCATGACGTATTTGATATGCCAAACACAGTAACAACAAGTCTCACGATGGAGACGTTACTGGGCCCACTAGAGCAACTCGATGAACAATGGGAGGACAGTGCTACAGTGCTACATCCAGCTAGGTTGCAATTGCATTGTTATAGAACCAGTGGATAGGGACCTCAGACATAGTACAGCGGATAGGACTCTTGCCTTGCAGCTCAGGTCCTATCCCAGGTATCACATATGCTTCCCTGAGAACCACTGGGAGTGATCCCTGAGCACAGAGCCAGGAGTAAGCCCTGAGCACTGTGGTGTGGCCCCTAATCCAAAAATCTATGAGTACATAGTGTGAGCTGAGTAGGAAGGAATAAAGACTTTTTTCATAAATGATATGCAGACTTCTCCACCCAGACACCTGACCCCCCCACCCCCGCAAGTCTTCCAGTAGGTAGGCGTCACACCCATCAGCTGCCGCCACACCAGGTTGGTCCCATCAACGCAGAGACTATAAAACCCAGCTCCCGGAAGCGCGTGGCCGCAACATCTTATTTTTTCCTTTGGAGAACCTGGCAGGCTACCAAAAGTATCCTGCCCGCACGGCAGAGTCTGGCAAACTTCCCGTGTCATATTCAATATGCCAAATACCAGTAACAATGATGGGGTCTCATTCTCCTAATCCTGAAAGAGCATTGAAATGGCTCTTTTAAAATCTCAGGGCTAGGAAGAAGGAGACGTTACTGGTGCCTGCTCGAGGAAATCGACGAACAACAGGATGATTGTGATCGTGATATGCAGACTATTTTATATATATTTGAAGCCCTGTAGTAGACATAGAAAGCCGCTCCCTGCCCCCACCAAGCTAAGAAACTTGAACAAGAGCATTTAGGTCTGTAGGGTTGAGAACACTGAAATTCCAAAGACCTGTAACATCAAATTATAATGTCCAATATAGAAGACATTAGGCCACATGTGACTAAATAAAATATGGTGAAAATTCTAATATTTGGTCCTCAGTTGCACTAGTCATATTTCACTCAATAGCCTTCCTTTTGCAGACTCTATATTTGTGACAAGTTGGATGAACACAGCTGGCTTTAGTCAGGGGCTTATACATACTTTTTGTTTTTGTTTGGGGCCACACCCAGTGGTGCTCAGAGTTCACACCTGGCTCTGCACTCAGGAATTACTTCTGGTGGGTCTTGGGCGATCATATGTGATAACAGGGATCCAACCCAAGCCAGCCATCTGCAAGGCAAGCGCCCTACCCTGCTGAACTATCTCTCCAGCCTCGATATATTTTGATATAATTTGTTCACCTTTTGGAAAAAGCAACACATTTGGTAAAAAACTTCATCTTATAGTAATACTCCACGAGATTCCCCTGAGCGTAGACGTTGCCACGTTTCGCAGCTTCTCTCAAGCAATACAGGGCAGCCTCCGTGTCCTGGCGGATGCCTTGTCCGTAGAAGTACATGAGCCCAAGTGCACCCTGGGACTCCAGATTTCCGTTGCCACATGCTTCTGAATGCCAATAAAACGCCTTTGAAAACAAAAAGCAACATTTCATCTGTGTGATTATTCTTAAGGTGGAATGACAGGGAAGTTGCTAGAAAGAAAAAATGTACATACATCAGTACTATGAATTTCCTGTCTAGGAGCTAATAGTTCAAGCCAGCCCTGATTTTCCAATCATTCTAAGCTAGAGTCCTAAGGACGTGTGGTGTGTTGTCGCCGCTTTGGAGAGTTTCACATTTCCATTGAAAGGTTAGAGAAGGTGGCAAGCGGGAAATGTCTAGGGGGTGGGAGGCTTGGAGAGTCCTGTAGGAGAGGAAAGCCGTCAGTGCTGAGGGGTCCTCGGAGTTCTAGGTGGATCTATGAAGGGCAGTTACGATCAAAGGTGACTTAGGATTAAAGCAGTAGGTAAGGCGCTCGCCTTACACATGCCTAACCCAGGTTCCATCCCTGGCAATAAACTCCTGGCAGTGATCCCTGAGTGCTGAGCCAGGAGTAAGCCCTGAACTCCACCAGGTGTGATCCCAGAATCCAACAATTATAAGTCAAGTCATGCTTAGTCTAGAGTGTCCTGGCTTTTGTACTCAGCTGCTGTGAATTTGAACAAGTTTAAAAAAAAAATACTGACTTCTAAAAGGCAGCTCAGTCAACCGAGAAGTGTCTAATAACCATTGGCACCTCTTACACATTTATCCTTAACACCTCATCTCTCTCTCCCTTTCTTCTTAGAAAATCTTGTGATCCCTTGATAAGCTTTTTGTAAAAATCTTAAACGAAGTGAATTAGTTCTTATTTTATTTTACTTCTTAGTATTATTTGTTGCTTTTCCCATTCAAATGTTAATATCAACTTAATCATACTTAAAAGATTTCAACTTTAATTTCAAGACAATCCCTCTTTATTTCCTGCGGGGCTGGAGCGATAGCACAGCGGTAGGGCGTTTGCCTTGCACGCAGCCAACATGGCCGACCCGAGTTCGATTCCTCCGCCCCTCTCGGAGAGCCCGGCAAGCTACTGAGAGTTTCTCGCCCGCACAGCAGAGCCTGGCAAGCTCCCTGTGTCGTATCGATATGCCAAACACAGTAACAACAAAGTCTCCAATGGAGACGTTACTGGGCCCGAGTGAGCAAATCGACGAACAACAGGAGGACCGTGACCGTGAATCGAAGCCGTGTAGATTTTGTTTTGGGGTTTTTGGTTTTGTTTTGTTTTGGGGCCACATCTGGGGATGTTCAGGGGTTACTCCTGGATGGCAGTTGTGTGGATTTATTTTTGAGGAGGGGGTCTCCCAAGCTCAGGAGACCCAGGGCCCCTCCCTATGATTCTTATCTACTCAGGAAACTGCAATGCAAGGGCCTGAGAGTGAAAAGCTGCCCTGACTCTCTGGTGCTGGGGAATATCCAGGTCATCTCAGTGGTGCTTGGGGAACACGGGATGGGGATTGAACTAGGTTTGGGTGCGAGCAAAGCACGTACCTTAACTTTGGTAGCATTCTGGCCCAAAATATTGTTTTTCCAAAGCATAGAAAATGGTCTTCAACCCCAGGTCTTCTTCGGTCAAGGGAGTAGAAAGAATATTCCTAAGTAGAGCTTTAAGATCCTAAAATGTGAGTTTTCTTTTACGTTTTAGAGTACTTTAAGAGAGATTGAAAGCCACACACTTATTTCTCAACCTTCCCTTCAGGGGGCTGGAGATAGAACAGCAGGTAAGGGGCTTGTCTTGCATGCAGCCGACCCTGGCTAGATCCCATAGGGTCCCCAGACGCCCCCAGGAGTGATTCTTGAGCACAGAGCCAGGAGTAATTCCTGAGCACTGCTGGGTGTTGGCACCAAATCCAAAAACCACATAAACAAAACCCAAAATACCTTTCTTTTAAAGAGCTAAACAAATGTTAATCTAAACACAATGCGCAAAGAAATCAAACATAAATGTTACCTTTTCTAATTCTTTAGGTTCCTTTGTTGAATAATACAATCCTAGGATACCTTGTGCCTTTACACTAGCATTTGGATTTCCGTTGTCTGCAGCTAAAAGCCAGAGTCTGAAAGAGAAAGGCAACGTGAAGTGTATTTGTTTCGGCATTTGTTTAGAACACAAATGTGTTCTCAGGTGACATTACCTTTCCGCTTCCTCCTCTGATCTTTTAACACCACATCCTTCATAATAAGCTCTTCCAAGATTGTAAGCAGCTGCAAATTTTAAGTGTCTTGCTTTGGGACACAGAGAATCAAAAATTTTCTTCATATACTCCACTCCTTTTTCCTTCCACAAAGGAGAAAAACAACAACCAAGAAAAATATTCACTTTCTGCTCTACCCAAACTAAATTCAAAGTGTATATATATGTCGGGGGGCGGGGGCGGGCGGTGGCTGGCGTGGTGTCCTGGAGATAGAAACCAGGGCTTCACACTTACAAAACCCTCCTACCACTGATCCACATTCCAAGCATCAAACCATTTATCCCAATGTCGCAATGCACCAGGCACCTCTGACACATACAATGATATGACTCTGCCCAAGCAGATGATTGTCCTGGATTCTGTAAGAATAGTAAGAAAGAAGTATTCTGGGGCTGGAGTGATAGCACAGTGAGTAGGGCGTTTGCCTTGCACGTGGTGGACCCAGGTTCGATTCCCAGCATCCTATATGGTCCCCAGGGGTAATTACCGCCAGGGGTAATTCCTGAGTGCAGAGCCAGGAGTAACCCCTGTGCATCACCGGGTGTGACCCCCCCCCCCCAAAAAAACATTCTGAGCTCTGGGGTAGACAGCATTTCCTTTATTTTATAGCTTCCAGTGTTGTATTATGTCTCAATATGGGTTTTACTATGTTTGCCTTTCTCCAATCGCTTAACCCTTTTGTAGAACTAACATGTGAATCTTAGAATACTTCAAAGGCAATAATGCCTGGCAACTTCTTGCATGTCCATCATTCCTGCATTGCACTGATGACCCCAAATAGTGTGCTCCCTCTTCAGACACTGTCACTTTATAATAAGTATACACTAATCTTCATAGGATGTCAATGTAGTCACAAAGAAAGCCCAGAAGTTCCATCTGCTATCACCAAAAGGCCTGCACTCCACCCCTGCCTCACCCAAATATCCATCAGACATAAACGTTCAAGCATTGCCCCAAAAAGGAAAAAACAGCATTTGACAGAAAAATGACTAGTCTGGCTTTGATCTCACTGTTCTTTCAACATGTTGTTGGCTAAATAGCCCAGTAATATAAGAAAAAAAGAAAAGTTTTGAATTTAGTGAGTCACTTTTGGGGGTTAATTTGCATGAATGTGAGGTAGGTACTTTTAAAAAATGAGCTTGTTTCTTTTTCTTTTTAAACCCTCAACTCTGGTTTACCCAACTCTGTTGTACAAAAGCAAGACATTATGTTAATATTAGCTGTGTGGAGTTCCTTGGTGAATCCTCCCAGTGGCCTGCAGCAACACATCAAGACAACATAAAGAATGATTTCTAAAAGGCATTGGCTTTATCATGTGAATGAAGGAAAGCCATATGATTTAGAATATAAAAAATACACTTTTTCCAATTGCATAAAGAAATAACTGCCAACGAGCAAAACAAACCATCAAAAACAAAAGTCAATTTTTAGATATTCAAAATTTGAGACTTCATTAAGCTAGCCCTTGCCTCTTCTGTTGACAGGCTAGGAAGGAAGAGAAGAAGCCCCAGACCAGTACACATGTAACAGATATAAAGGATAGATGTGTTTCCTTTATAATTTCTTCAAAAAATTCTAACACCGTATTTTAGAGCTTATGATATATCAATTAAATGTCTATATCAGGGCAAGTACTCTAAGACTGGGGGTAATTGGAAAAACGAAAGCAGACTTCTGGAAGGTTCCTGTAGTTTTACCAAAGTAATTTAAAATGAACTGCACATAAACTAATAAATGGATATTGTAATATCTAGAGCAACTAAAATACTTTTCTGTAGAACAATTCAGTTTTTTCCCTGGAGTATCTCTGCCCCTTTCGGAGAGCCCAGCAAGCTACTGAGAGTATCCTGCCCACATGGCAGAGCCTGGCGAGCTGCCCGTAGTATCTTCAATATGCCCCAAACAGTAACAATAACGAGTCTCATTCCCCTGACCCTGAAAGAGCCTCCAATACGGCAGTGTTGGGAAAGACAAGTGGGGAGAGGCTGCTAAAATCTCAGGGCTGGGATGAATGGAGATGTTACTTACTGGCACCCACTCAAGTAAATCAATGAACAATGGGATGGCAGTGATACAGTGATAGAACAATTAAATTAAAACGTCAATCAAAATATCTCTGTGAATATTACAAAGTGGGTCTATCCTCTGACCACAGGAAGTGTTATTTGATTCTCAGACTCTGGTTCAACTTTGTATCAAGAATAATAGTAAATTAATGAAAGAACATGATAACAAGGAAAAGAATTTGTTATTTGCCCGTTTTCTTGGCTTAATTGTTTGATCAGGCTAATTTATTGCAAGGGCTGGAGCGATAGCAAAGCGGTAAGGCGTTTGCCTTGCCCGCAGCCAACATGGCCGACCCGAGTTCGATTCCTCCGCCCCTCTCGGAGAGCCTGGCAAGCTACCGAGAGTATTCGATATGCCAGACACAGTAACAACAAAGTCTCCATTGGAGACGTTACTGGGCCCGCTTGAGCAAATCGATGAGCAATTTATTGCAAAATTCAGTAAGAAAAGCTTCAGATACTGTCATCTTTTTTTGTTCGTCTGGTCTCTATATGTAATTGCATTTAAAGCTCTTCTGTTTTGGAATTGCCACAAACCAACTCATTGAATCTCCCAACTCTTCCTGGTTTCTCAGCTGCATCAACTTCCAGCCTACCAACTTACACTGTATCTTTCTCCATATTCACTTTGCCCTCCTTTCTCTCCAGGGCCCTTGAACAATTTGGCAAATACCTCATTTCTCTGCTTATTCTGCTACACTCAAGTGACTGATCATGTCTGGGGAGGAATATAGCCATGCTTCCAGGTCATTTTTCAAGTCTTTGAACATATTTCAGTGTGGCCTCTAAGTTCTGGCAAGCAATCCTATCAATGTGTCACATCCGTTAGCATTTCTGCTTTCCTGGGAGAGAAGATACTCTTCTTTTTAAATTTTAATTGTCCCTACTCCTCTCAGTTATTCTCAGCCCATGGTTTTACATTGTAAAGTTTGTATTTTATTTTAAAAATATAGACTGCTGGGGCTGGAGCAATAGCACAGCGGGTAGGGCATTTGCCTTGCACGCGGCCGACCCGGGTTCAATTCCCAGCATCCCATATGGTCCCCTGAACACCGCCAGGGGTAATTCCTGAGTGCAGACCCAGGAGTAACCCCTGTGCATTGCCGGGTGTGACCCAAAAGCAAATATCTCTCTCTATATATATATAGATATATATAGATATAGTGACAGTGTGTGTGTGTACGTGTGTGGTCTTTTTGTAGGAGGTGTTGCTAATTTTCTCTTTATTATTTCCATTTTCATGTACATACTGCAGAGCAAGCATATTCACCAAGAAATCAGAATCAAAAGAAGCACCAAATCTTGTTCATTTTTTCCTGAACCATCCTTTTTCTCCCTGTCTATAAGATCTTATGTGTAAGTTTATTGATATATTGTGGATCTTTAATCTCTGGGGAAAACTCTCTAACTCAGATCCCCATGAGTCATAACACATGTATTTGTTACATTTCATACAAAAGTCAATGTTTATCTCCACATCCTCATCTTCACATATCTCCTCAACCCACACTAATCTTGGTTCCTTATGATTCTACTGAAAATACTTTTGTCAAGGTATCTGGTGAAATATACCTTAAGCGATCAAACAGTAAGTTATGTTTTCATTCAACTCGTCTTTTACTATGTTTTGAGACAGTTATTTGCTTCTTGAAAAAAAAATTCCGGCTCACTTTCTGATTGCCATGTCCCCTTGATTTTCCTCCATCTTCCCTGACTTCCGCTACTTATTCTCCTTTGTTGGCTATTACCTTCCTTCCCATCACTCAAGATTGGAGAGATCCCTCTCTCTGTTGTTGGCCTGTTTTTCTTCTCTTCCTCTCCTCATTCATCAGTTCTATCCATTACTGTGTTATGAGTGTCATTGATCCACAGAGAAGATCCACCTATTTTCCTAGTCGTGCCTGTAGCTATGAGCTCCAAACTCTCTCCTTGACATCTCTACTGAGAGTATTTACAGGCAACTTTAAATATAATCACAATCACAAATCACAAATCATCCTGTTATTCGTCGATTGTCTCGAGCAGGCCCCAGTAACGTCTCCTTCATCCTAGCCCTGAGATTATATTCAAGGCTCTTTAGGAGAATGAGACCCATCATTGTTACTGGTATTTGGCATATTGGGTACGCCAAGGGGAGTTTGCCAGACTCTGCCCTATGGGCAGGCTACATTCGGTAACCTGCCAGTTTGTCCAAAGTAGGAATGAGATAATAACATGTCATAATAAGATGTCGCGCGGTTCCGGGATCTGGGTTTTATAGTCTCTGAGTCTTGGCCGCTGATGGGATTACACGGCGCCAGGGGGCCAGTTGGTGGGTTGCTTCTCAGCCTTTTGGCTAAGATCAAGTGTAGTTAAATATAATATTCAAACACAAATATATCAGTTTTCTTCCCATATGCCAATCCTGTTTGTTCCCATTCATCTCACTTTAATTAATGGTGGCCGGATCCAGTTAAGCCAGGAAAGTAGGAACTATCCTGATTCCTTCCCTGGTCCCTGACTTTCTCTCAATTTCAGTAACTTTTGTATATTCTTATACATAGGCTTAAATTTGCACATTCTACTCTGTTTTCACTTTTGCTACTTTAAAGCTATTACTTCATCTGAACTGTATTGTAATGGTCTCTTATGAGTATCCTGCTTCTACTCGTCTTCCCCTATTTATTTCATTCTCTAGACACAAAAACATTTTTTAAATGTAAAACATTAATTTTCTTTTTAGTGTCATCACACTGCACTTACAATGCAATCCAAACTCTTGGCTGTATAGTTGAGTCCCTATCTCACTATTTTAACTACCTTCCATCCTCTCTCTGTTCCTCTGGTGTGAGCACTTGCTATAAACACTCCCGGAGCATGATTCTCAGCAGACCTCATTTTTAGTCCCTCCTTCTTCTTATACAGTACTGAGTTTATTTAATATTTGTTAATTATATATTAATTAATTTTTACTATAGCTTAGGTAATTATTACAATACTGTTGATGTTTGTGATATTGAAGCATATGATTACGCCAG